CAAGTCACACAAATACTGAAAATATTGTATGGTAATTTTCCTGCTTTTATTAGTGAAGGAGAAGCTCCAGGCTTTGAGGTTATAAAACTTTTATCTGAGTTCTGTCTCGAATCTCAAGATTCCAATAACAAGCTGAATACTTTCCTTGCAGGACAGGACTTATAGACCCTGGGCGTTAGGACAGCAGTAAGGGGCAAAAGAGTTGAACTCTGAGTAATGATAACCATTTAGCCACTGTAGCAGAACGTGAAATAACTAGAACTATCACTAAATGTGATTAATACCCCCACAAGACTGCTTCGGAAATGAGGATGTTACTAGAAACAGAATATCTTGTAAAAGAATTGAAATATAGAGTTATGGTTGTGGGCAATTAAAGATAGTTGTGGTTCTTGTATATTGCATTTCCTTTCAATGTGGTTGGCCATTGATGAAGTTTAATTGAATTACTCTGTAATAAGTCCAGAAAGACAAAGAAAAGGAACAAAGGGCAATAACTCTATAAATACTGAAGATGGAGTTATAGTTCTTGTGCACTGCACTTCCTCTTTTTGTGCTTGACCATTGTATGAAGTTGTTTTGAATTTCAACCAGTACGTTTTAAGTTATGCTCCAGACAAGGAAAAGTATCAAAGGGCAATAACTCTGTATTTTGTCAAAATGGAGTTATGGCTCTTATGCACTGCACTTCCTTTTAATGTCCTTGACAACTGTATGAAGTTGTATTGAATTCCAAACAGTAGTTTTCAAGTTATGCTCTGGACAAGGAAAAGTAACAAATGGCAATAACTCTGTAATTTGTCAAAATGGAGTTATGCTTCTTGTGCACTGCACTTCCTCTCAATGTGCTTGACCATTGTATGAAGTTATATTGAATTCCAACCATTAGTCTTCAAGTTATGCCCCGGACAAAAAAAAGCAATGGAAAAGTAACAAAGGTCAGTAACTCTGTAATTAGTCAAGATGGAGTTATGGTTCTTGTGCACTGCACTTCCTCTCAATGTGCTTGACCATTGTATGAAGTTATAATGAATTCCAACAATTAGTTTTCAAGTTATACTCCGGACAAAAGAAAGCAATGGAAAAGTAACAAAGGGCAATAACTCTGTAATTACTTTAGATAGAGTTATGGTTCTTATGCACTGCACTTCCCCTTACTGTGTTTGACAATTGTATGAAGTTGTTTTGAATTCCAACCAGTAATTTTCAAGTTATGCCCCGGACAAGGAAAAGTAACAAAGGGCAATAACTCTGTAATTAGTCAAGATAGAGTTATGGTTCTTGTGCACTGCACTTCCTCTCAATGTGCTTGACCATTGTATGTAGTTATATTGAATTCCAACCATTAGTCTTCAAGTTATGGTCCGGACAAAAGAAAGCAATGGAAAAGTAACAAAGGGCAATAACTCTGTAATTACTTTAGATAGAGTTATGGTTCTTGTGCACTGCACTTCCCCTTATTGTGTTTGACAATTGTATGAAGTTGTTTTGAATTCCAACCAGTAGTGTTCAAGTTATGCCCCGGACAAGGAAAAGTAACAAAGGGCAGTAACTCTGTAGTTAGTCAAGATAGAGTTATGGTTCTTGTGCACTGCACTTCCTCTCAATGTGCTTGACCATTGTACGTAGTTATATTGAATTCCAACCATTAGTCTTCAAGTTATGGTCCGGACAAAAGAAAGCAATGGAAAAGTAACAAAGGGCAATAACTCTGTAATTACTTTAGATAGAGTTATGGTTCTTGTGCACTGCACTTCCCCTTATTGTGTTTGACAATTGTATGAAGTTGTTTTGAATTCCAACCAGTAGTTTTCAAGTTATGCCCCGGACAAGGAAAAGTAACAAAGGGCAATAACTCTGTAATTAGTCAAGATGGAGTTATGGTTCTTGTGCACTGCACTTCCTCTCAATGTGCTTGACCATTGTATGAAGTTATATTGAATTCCAACCATTAGTCTTCAAGTTATGGTCCGGACAAAAGAAAGCAATGGAAAAGTAACAAAGGGCAATAACTCTGTAATTACTTTAGATAGAGTTATGGTTCTTGTGCACTGCACTTCCCCTTATTGTGTTTGACAATTGTATGAAGTTGTTTTGAATTCCAACCAGTAGTGTTCAAGTTATGCCCCGGACAAGGAAAAGTAACAAAGGGCAGTAACTCTGTAATTAGTCAAGATAGAGTTATGGTTCTTGTGCACTGCACTTCCTCTCAATGTGCTTGACCATTGTATGTAGTTATATTGAATTCCAACCATTAGTCTTCAAGTTATGGTCCGGACAAAAGAAAGCAATGGAAAAGTAACAAAGGGCAATAACTCTGTAATTACTTTAGATAGAGTTATGGTTCTTGTGCACTGCACTTCCCCTTATTGTGTTTGACAATTGTATGAAGTTGTTTTGAATTCCAACCAGTAGTTTTCAAGTTATGCCCCGGACAAGGAAAAGTAACAAAGGGCAATAACTCTGTAATTAGTCAAGATAGAGTTATGGTTCTTGTGCACTGCACTTCCTCTCAATGTGCTTGACCATTGTATGTAGTTATATTGAATTCCAACCATTAGTCTTCAAGTTATGGTCCGGACAAAAGAAAGCAATGGAAAAGTAACAAAGGGCAATAACTCTGTAATTACTTTAGATAGAGTTATGGTTCTTGTGCACTGCACTTCCCCTTATTGTGTTTGACAATTGTATGAAGTTGTTTTGAATTCCAACCAGTAGTTTTCAAGTTATGCCCCGGACAAGGAAAAGTAACAAAGGGCAATAACTCTGTAATTAGTCAAGATAGAGTTATGGTTCTTGTGCACTGCACTTCCTCTCAATGTGCTTGACCATTGTATGTAGTTATATTGAATTCCAACCATTAGTCTTCAAGTTATGGTCCGGACAAGGAAAATGCAACGGACGTCTGGACCGACCGACCGACCGACCGCCCGACCGACCAACCGACCACCGGGTGACTCCTATATACCCCCCCAAACTTCGTTTTTGGGGGTATAATAAGTCATGTTCTCTCAGCAATTTTTCATTATGGAAGACTATCTAGAGGCTATTTGATTGATATACCATAAAATAAATGATATGATTTCTACTTATATGAGCAATAAATTGTTTCATTCAACAATTTTAGTGAAATTATATTATTATTGAATTATCCATATTATTATTATAATGTTGATAATTGACAGTTCCAAGAAACAAGAAATGGTAGCTGAACATTCTAGTAATCCAGCAGGTACAGTACAGGGCTAAAATCTGACAACCAGGTGTATAGAGCTTTGCCATACAGCACACACAGCACTGCCTGGCTGGCCTGGCTCTATATTGGTGGTAAAGGTAAATCATAAGAGTAGCTAGAACTGTACAAATTAATCTGTCTATATCTTAAACAATGATACAACAACAGCATTTTAATCACACATACCTCTTCAACAAATCATTCTAATTAATAATACATGTATTTACAATAAGATTTCTTTATACAAACTCAGCTGATTTTCTGCCATCAAAAAATGAATAAACTTATAGAAAACAAAACAACTTAACAAAACTTGATACATAAATATACACAAAATTCTTTTTTCTCTGCGAGGCAAAAAGCAAAAAGCAACAGCATACACACAAATACACAACTTAATACACTTATATACACACAATGTTTCTCCTCCCAAAAAATGACAATAATATGTCCTATTATCCTTCACCATTTCAGAAATAGTGTGCAGGAAATTTTCTAAGTTGAAAAATAGAAAATTTGTTTGTTTGTTTGTTTAGATTTTTCAAGGTACGTCAACACATAACTGACCATATTGTGCCGAATGCTATAATAGGCTTAAAAATGCAATGAATTGCAAAAAAGTATATACATATGTATATAATGAGCAAATATTACTTGGGTCAAGATCATAATTCCTAATATAACACAACTTAGTTTCTGGGAGCAGACTTGAGTCAAATATAAAATGTATCAATTCATTTCTCTCTCTCTCTTGGATAAATAAAAATATTTTGCTTCTTTTTTTCTGGTTTAATGGCATTATTTATTTTTCATTCCGGACAAAAGCATTCATCAACTTTTGGGGAATTTTTTGTGAACCTACAGGGTAGACCATGATCAGCATGGAAACCTGGCCTGCTCAAGGTCACATGGGTAGAAGCAGTTACTGCAAGCATGCTAATGATGAAATACAGTTCCTATAGCAACCATGGAACATTATCAGATAACACCATATTTCAATTATAAAATATAATAAATATAATGTTATTAAACCATGCTTATGCTTGCTTTCACATAGATTTCTTTTAAATCTGTCTTTTTTTTAATTTCCTTTGCTTAATTTTAACTAATGTTATTAGACCGGGTTTTGCCAGTAGAGTTGTCAAAATTTTACAAGGCACTTGAAGCATAGTAACAATAAATGTGATAAATGCGATAATAATGAGATCAAATACATACATATATATTCATTTACAGATCAGTCGCATCATAAAAACTCTGATACTGGATAAAAGACCAATCAAGAATATTATCACTATTATCGATAAAAACAGGAATCCAACCAGGGACCCTCAGAATACCGTTCTGCGGCTCTACTGACTCAGCTATTCGACCCCATACACATTCTCTGCCCTAAATTGTGAACATTTCTAAACTGTGACAATAATTATGCTTTAAACCAAAATCAATGAACATATTATCTAATGAACATACATATATGATAAGATCAATACAGTTATACCAAAATCAAAAGTTCTTTGTAAAGCAAATTCATTGACATGGTCTAATGATGGGCCATCCTGACAAATGAAAAGTGATTATAAATTATATTATTTACCCAGTATCAGATGAAGTAACAAGACTGTTTAAATAATCATGAAAAAACACACACAAAAACATCAATTCAAAAGGCATAAAATTCAAAACGCATATAATTACACCAAACAAAAAAATCCTTAAAAAATAAAATTATATTATCTGATTTTTTTCGTCTTTTTTAAAAAAAAAATAACTTAAATGCTAATTTAAATGCTAAAACTATCACAATCACTAAAATGCAACACAAAAACTTTACACATAATGCAAAGCAAATCTGTTAAAGCAATTACTAATCAATGTCCTTATTTTCAGACATTTTTTGCAATAAAATAAAATGCTACTTAATCTGTTGCCATTTTATTGTTTAATCGTATTCAGCAGTAGTCAATATATTTAAAACAACCAATAAAAGTTACTATACCTTAACTGATACCTTTAACATCTTAAACTAGTAGAAACAAAATAGTTTTGTTTCTTTGTAATCTAAATTATGCTACTAAAATTTACAATACTGAGAGTTAACAAAAAATCCAGAAGATTAAAATCAGGTAGAAATATATTTAAATATTTCTCAAAAAAATCAATCAATCAAAAAAAGGAAAACAAATGAAGAAAAATTAAGAGAAATCAAAGAGGATTTTTAATCCTTTTACCTACCTGATTGATATACATGTATATAATAATATTATAAATGTACAATTATAATAACTCAGTCATTCATCAATAATTGCTCCTATCATTTCAATTCTTAATACTATGTAACAATTAAAAAAAAATAAAAATACAAACACCTTATGAACTTAAATCAAAGTTTGATATGCATTTGGAATGTCTCGAAGATCTATTTCTATTTCCTCGGCAAAAATAGAACATTTTTATGACCTTGCCAATCTTGTGTCAAATAACCGATTTTGATCGTTGTCATCATCCGAATCGCTCTCGTCATGATATTCCTTGGTACCGTTTGAGAGTCGTTTTGTTTGTTTGTTACCGACCTCACCAAATATTTCATCCTCAGAATCGGTCTCGTCCACATTGAGCCGGCGGAAACCGACCTTTGAGTATGGCAGAGCTTTCCGGTTTCTAAGGCACATAATGGCTGTTACAACAAACACCAGTACTAGTATTATTGTACCTGAAATACAAATATATACAAATGTTCAAAAATCATATACAGGTATTCAAAACCCTTAACTTGCTGTAACAGATCAAATGATTAGCCTTTTGCTACCAGTGCAGAGACAGTCTGCAGAATTTATGTGAATGTTATTTGTTGTGTTGGTTTATCTGGGTTTTTTTCTGATTTTAACACATTCTTGGTCATATCTTGGAAGTCGGTGCACATAACCAGCTTTCTTGGATAACTAACAAGTAATTACAAATTTCTCCTCAAGTGACCGACTACTAATCCAACAAGATTTTTGAATCAGCCGTGGGAGACTATAAGATTCTTACACCGGCTACTATTACAGACCGGAATGTCTAGCTCGAGGGTAACTGTTTATGGCAGTAGCAGGCTTTGCCAAGTTTCCACTAAACAGTTACCAGACAGCTAGATATTCCTGTCTGTAACAGCAGCCGATGTTTGATTTTTTTCCTTGCATATAACAAATTAATTATATTACGAAAAAAGAAATTACGAAACTAATATTTTCATTTAGCACTTTTTCTTATAGTAGTGTATGAATTTACAACTTCATTCATAACGCCACAAATGATGTCATCCTTAGAACGCAATTCATTCATAAAAGGCATGTCATTTAAAAACACGCCACTTGTACATGGGGGGGGGGGTGTTAGACAGGATTTCTAGCACCGGTATAAAAAGTAGATAATCTTGTCTGATATGTAAGAAAAATAGCTATTAGACTTAATGTCTGAAATCAATTGTCATAGTCCTGGATTACAAATCCCAAGACCTGCCTACATTGCTAAGCAAGTGTTAGTGAACATATAATAAATTTACATTAAACTCACCTATTCCAAGCACTAACATTGTGTTAGTATAGCCAGCTATATTCTGTTCTTTTTCCATTGTTACAATAAACTCTGTGCTATCCATATCCTCATTTACTGTCAATGTCTGAAATTATTCCAATAACATCATCATATAATAACACAGTAAGTTAAATATATGTCGTCAAACGCTAGCAGTTTAATAATCTGCCTGTACAACCACCAACATTCCGTAAGCTAGCTGGATATCTTGCTCATATGAAAAAAATCAAAGACCCTGGCATGGGTCGGACCTACGATGGTCAGATGTAAGTGATATGAAGTCAATGAACTTAAAATATCGGCTCTGCACGCAGTGATTAATCTAGATGTGCGTCTTGCGTAAAATACGCATAAAAATAAAAAAAGACGCGCAGTTTCAAAATATGTGCGTTCAATCTGACGCATGCTAATCAGGAAGTTTATAATCCAAAATATCACGATTAGTGATTTCTATGTACAGATTGATTACTTTAATTTCATTAGTTGAATAATTTTTCAATTTCTTCAGTTGAATAATTTAATTTCCGATGATATCAGGTGCAAGACTAATCCCCCATTTGCTTAAAACGTTAAATCCCAAGCAATTGTTGCTTCTGATCGGTAACCGCCCATTATCGGCATTAGCCAATCAGAGCGTCCATTTTGCATAAAAGCGATTCGCCTACAATGGTGAAATATACAGACATTGGCGCTAAAAAATGAGAAGGGCACAGGAAAATCGTCAGCAAATGGCCAAAGGCGCATCAGACTTATATTGTATGTTATTTAGTCATCCAGACCAAACTGGTACCAACAGCAACAGGTTACCCATTCCCCTGTAATTACGCATATTCTTGAGTTTATCCATTTCCCTATAGCATTTTTCCAAGTTATCTACTTACCTAATCCCTTTCCCACCTACTACTGCATTTCTACTACCGTAAATTTAATCCAATAAAGCAAACAAAAAATCATTTATCTACTTAATATTTTAAATAACTATCGGTAACTGAAAGGAAATGCTGTAAGTTACAGTATAATCTGACAGGTGTGTAATGATTTCCCCTAAGGTCACTCAAGTTCACGCGGAGTGTAAAAAAAAAAAGATGTCTATTACGTCATCAGAATATTTGACAGGGTGATTAACCAATCAGGGTAACATTGTGCATGACTTTTTTTCATGATCTGTGTATGCTTTCTACACAGAGGCATACAAGGAGCAATACAAGTCGTCAGTATGTATACAGTGTGAGAGGGACATTTTGTGCAAATTACGAACAATTAAAATGGATAATGCACAGTATTAGACATAAGTAGTAAGAAAATATAAATTATGAAAATTAGATTTTTGAGCAGCCAATAAAAATTGTTTTGCCTGCAATTAATATTAGTACCAAAAATAACGTTTTTATGCACTTTAATTATTTAATCGCTTGTTATAAAAACATGCAAATCATGTCAAGGATCTGCTATTAAAAAGACGCATTTTTTTTGCTACATGACTCATTGATTTTGCTACAGGACTCATTGTTTTCAAACATGTGCGTCATCCGACGCATTGTAAGGAATTTCTAGATTAATCACTGTGCACGGACACTCCAATGATCCACACTGGAGTCACATATTAACACATTTCCTCGAATGACAACTGCCTCGGTTCAGGACACAGTTTAAAGATTTATACATAGCCTCAATCTGGTTCATGAAGCAGACCTTTGTTTAATTCTAAACCCCACCTCCATCTTAAACATATTTCAATTTTATCTCTGTAAAAGACTAGAACTCCGCGAGTCGGATGTGTCGCCTTGTGAACAATGTAGTTTAGGAGAAATGGCCAGGACAAAAATGAAATATGAAAAACAACAAAGGGCAATAACTAAAAAAATAATAAGTGCAGAGCAGCATATCTGTGCACTGAATTTCTTATCAATAAGATCTATCATTCTATGATGTTTCAAGTCCATAGCTTTCATACTTGAGGAGAAATGACCAGGACAAAAATAAAGTAAGAAAATCAACAAAGGGCAATAACTCAAAAATTAAGAAATGCAGAGTACCGATTCTTGTGCACTGCACTTCTTCTTAATGAGATCTATCATCCTATGAAGTTTCAAGTCCATAACTTTTATACTTTCGGAGAAATGGCCTGGACAAAAATTAAGTATGAAAATCAACAAAATGCCATAACTCAAAAATTAAGAAATGCAGAGTACCGATTCTTGTGCACTGCACTTCTTCTTAATGAGATCTATCATCCTATGAAGTTTCAAGTCCATAGCTTTTATACTTAAGGAGAAATGGCCCGGACAAAATTAAAGTATGAGAATAAACAAAGGGCAATAACTCAAAAAAACAAGAAATGCAGAGTACCTGTTCTTGTGCACTGCACTTCGAGTTATTGAAAGAAGCATGCATACCAAGTTTGAAGTCAATCAGACTTATAGTGACTGAGTTATGCTCCGGACCAGCTTTAAGGGACGCCGACGACGACGCCGACGACGAAAGTAACCCCTATATGTCACCTTTTCAAGGCGACACAAAAACTGACAGTGAACAGATGCCAGCTGATCTTGGTATATACTGATTGCATGCATCGATTCAGATGCCGCCTGCATGGTAAAAGTTAAATATGTACATTTTGTATAAATGAATAATACCTGTTGTACTGGGCTGTAGCCATGACATGACACAGTGACCTTGTAGGAGCCTGGAGCAAGGTAGATCCAAAATCTTGCCCCGTTATCTACCGGATACAGATGTGTCGAACCTTCTATAGATATCGTGGCATTCTTCATAAATTCTCGTGCACTATTTAGAACCACTCCTTTAATTCCTCTCCTAGCCTGAAAATGTAAATTAACTTATGACTATAATCATCCCCGGTAACCCATGGGTTATGTAACAGTCATATGGCAAATTTCCAACTATTCTTAAGGAGGAAGACAAACTGCCAAAATGAAAATTAAATTAATCCAAATGTGAGCACAGACCCCCTCAACCCCATCAGATCAGTTTCAGCAAGATCATTAGTTCCACTAAAAATAAGCCTGAGTAATCTCAATTACAATATTTTAATAAGCTGACTAACCTGTTGAAGCAGGGCCAATAACGACCCTTTGTTAGTCAACCATACATCCAGTAGTTCGTCCTGTTTCGGGTATTTACAACAACTCATGTATACAGATATAGCTGCACTGTGTAATACATCATACATGTAGTCCTGAAATATTCAAAGGTGATATAATTAACCAAATTTTATACTATCCTTTACGATGATAATATACTGATAAATATCAGTGAGAAATAAGTGATTTCAGACTTTATGAATTTGAGTGAGATATACGATTTTGGTTCCTATTCTATACATTGAACCATATAGCAAAAATCTGTAGATAAGATATAAAAACTTTTCACTATATCATGGATGACATCATAAATAGATATAATCCGGAACTTGGCAATTGTGGGTTTTCCCAAGTAAATCTGTAGGTACAAGCAAACTTACTGTTATAGCTTCACTGTGCACTACCCGTCACAATAGATTAGTCAACCTGTTGCCCTTATTTTCGAAGCGGTGACTGTAAAAGTTTATTTGTATCTACAGATTAACTTGGAAAAACTCAAAATATTCTTAATTCTGAAGTAATTCTATTATAGTCATTTATATTGACAATGTTTGGCTAATTTAAAGGAAAAACATACCATTAAACTTCCTGTGTGTACATGATATTCTGACGCTTCCATTATACCTACTTCAGAAGTCTCCTCACCTGAAATATATACATATATATATATAGGGTATAATCAAAACTGTCATAAAGGAAACTGTACTTAGAGACTCTATCAGTGCTGGATATATTGTGGATAGCCTTTATTTCCTATTAAAAATGCATTAAAAATGCTGAAATTGGAAAGCATACTATGGGTCTTTAACAACAGGTGGTCTTTGTATGCATTTGGTCTCTATTACTGGTATAAATGTACAAGATATGTTTGTGCACCAGGCCCCGTGTTCACAAAGATTTAAGGATCAGGATCAAGATCAGGATCAAATTTAAAAACTCAAATATTCTCTATTATTTATCCTCATAGATTAAATATTCAATATTAACTTGATAAAACTGGACTTTTATGAAATTTTATAATAAACTTATTGCTTTTTTTACAAGATACTGCCATTTTACAGTTGATCCAAATTTTGATCATGATCCCAAAATTGTCCCTCATTTTGATTCGATTATTTTTATATTTGTTTTGCAATTTGTTGATTTTATCCCAAAATAGGTTGGTTTCTTTGCAAATGCAATAAGCAATTATTTACATTTTGGATATGTACCATTTAGTTCTAGCATAATACGATCAGTTTTAGTTTTATAGAACAATGAAAATAAAATCAGGATCATTTGATCCTGATCCTGATCTTTTCTTTGTGAACACAGGGCCAGGGCTCAAGGTTATAAAACTTTCTTCTAAGTTCTGTCTTAAATCTCATAATTTTCATTGGTCAGTGTACATTCAGTGGCAATTTCTGACCAAATCAAAGATATGAGTGTGAGCTATGAGAATTCTCTTTCTAGCCTCTGACCCTGTTTGCAAAGTACAAATATGCACATCTGAGTACATCTTTAATTGAATATTCAAAACTTTTTTTCATAATGATTATTTCAATATCAGAATGTTACAAATATTGTTCAAATAAACAAACTTAAAGGCATAAGACTATAAGGCCAACATAAGCCTAAAAGTAATGAATTCATATGCTGAAAATTAACCAACCTTTACCAGAACCACATCTAAATTTCTTATAACTCATGGCTGGATGACGGTCAGCATATGCAAGCCCTAGTGTGACAAGGTTCTGTCTGTCTACCTCCCCTAATGGTACTGTAAATGTAATACATGTCATATATCAATGTTTATCCCTTAGCCTGTTGGTGGCAACAGATTCTATACATGTGATTTTATACATGTTCAGTTCAATATTATTCAACATTTCTGTGGCTCATGGTCTGCACTCTTAGGAATTGAAAATGAAAGATTACTGAGGGACATTCCTAATTTCAAATCCACATTCAATAGCATTTATTACAAGTCATATTAGTAATAATTAATATTTTTTAAACAATTATATGAATTTGTAAGTTTATATAACCTGACACACTATGTGAGGGTTATATAGAAAAATCTTTTTCTACACAACTATATAATCTGATAAAAGTCTTGGGAACAAATTTATAAATACTGTATCATTTTTTTCCTAAATAAAAAAGAAACATTAAATTTTACAAAGTATTTACCTTTTATATCAAAATGGTTCAATGAAAGTCAACAATACAAATGTACTCTTAACCACACCTTTTGTGCGTAATAGAAAGATGCAAATACACATCAAAATATTTTTACCATTGCTGGGACTGGAACTTGCGACAGACCATTTATAGGAGGAAATTACAATGCTCTAGACCACTGAGTGAAAGAATAAATTCCCTGACGCAATTATCAGAAATTGTACTTCCATGTAGTTATGAAAGTATCTGTGCACTCAACCAAAACAATATAAAATATTTAGTATGATCTACTATCAATAAACGACTTACCAGTTTTTGTTTGGTGCGGGTACAGAACCATGAGATCACCGCCACGTAACACCAATGTAACAGTTGGACTGAACGCCTCCTTTAACCAGTCTAACATCGACTTAGTCTCAGATTCGGACGTCAACGTCCTGTTTGAGTCCGGTACTGAAATTATAAAACATTGGTATATGTTTATTCTTTACATAATAAAATGAAAGGTCAAAGGTGATTTTTTAAATTTCAAAACACTTTAGGAATCAATTGTGTCATTATTGCTATGCTGCAGGTTCATTAAAACAAAGAAGACATTTGTTATATGATTATATTTGTTTGCTAATATACATGTTAAAACACATAGAAACAAAGGTTTTCAAAATAATAATAAATAGTAAAAGGGTTGGGCAACAAGTTCTTTTCTCTATTTCATATGTATAATATATCTTTTTTCTCTCATTTATATCTAGTAATTTATATCTTATGTGAAACCTTCTTTCCAATATATCTAATCAGTAATTAGAAATCAAAAAGATAATTTACTCTAACAAGAATATAGTTAAAATTGAGAGACAAACAATTTCATGTCAGAGGATGGAAGTATTCAGCATGGTACTCACAAAAAGATAATACTGATATAACACTTACAGAAGAAAGTTTCATCCAGATCTTTGTTGTTGTTGTTCTTATGTCCTTCGCCACCGTCGCATTTGCCCTCCTCTGACTTCATCAGACCGTCGGGGTTTAACGTAGGTATGATATGTATCCTGGTATCATCAAGTATCTGTGAATAGGTCAAAGGTTAAACTTACGAGTCTGCAATTTTCATATAATGTAGTTATATTTTCATTACTTTCCAGATTGTTTTACAGATTTAGAATGAACTTTTTATCACACCTATACATGTTAGTGGCGAAGGAAGACCTTAAGTCACAGGTGCTCTTTGTAAATTATTTTACACACAAGCCACACCAGGACCTGATGAAGACCAACATCCTTCTTTAAGCCTTTAAGCCATGACTACCTTCTTAAAAGGCAGAACTCAAAGTCCCTTGTGATTTGAAGTAAGTGATTTAGTGCAAGACAAATGAAAGAATCAGAATTAACATTATTCTGTGAATTTGCCACAAAACTGACAAAAAAACGAAAATACAATAACTTAAATTACACATCACCAATCATACATTATTTTATCACTTAATTTGACAATGCTATGTATTAAATGACGAAATTTACATACACATATAATTAACTCTGACTTACACTGGTAATGATAAAGTCTTTCCTGTAATTTGTACAGAGATGTTCTACCAGTTGTAGTGCGATCTCATACCCCACCCGCTCATCACCATGGAGACTACCGACAACCAACATTTCCGGAACATACCGAGCATCACCGGATTCAGGACCAAAGTCAACCATCCATAGATCTTTACCGGACATTGACTTTCCAAAGCTAAAAACATATCCAACGCATAATTGTAAGAACCTGTGCATAATGTAGGAACAATTTGTTTATGTTGTCAATTTCATCATGCATTATTGTTTTAATCATCCTAACACAATCTATATGTTTAGAGATAAAATAAAGATAACTAGTTATTTCTTGAATATATATAAAGATTTTGCTTACAAACAAAATACAGACTACCGGGTATGTCTGATTATCTTTTCGTAACAAAAATTGCAGAACCAGTACTTGTTTTTATTTACGAAATAGATATCAATTTTGAGTGCATTGTTGTAGAATAAAGCATGGTTCAAGTTAAAAAAAGTAGGAATAAAATTATGAAGGCCGATAAGCCATTGTGACCAATTACAAAGCATTTGAACGACAAACTGTGCATTAAATTATACTGTTATGCAAGAAAAATTTCTGATTCTAACATGGTTACAAAAAAAAAGAATTGATAAAAATATGTTGAAAAACAATGAGTTAAGAATTAATCTCCTGATGACATTTGGTTAATTGACGTCATATCTGATGTGTAAGCTTTCTTATTTTATGCTGTGCATATATTGTGTAATAATGCAATTAATTTGCCTATCAGTTTGAAAGGGGAATAGTGTGAAGTGTGTTCGAATAAAATACACTGTGGCCCCGTTATAACCCTCATGTTCGGGTCCAAGATCTCAACACTGTGTTGTAAGGTTCTGATATAACGCTCATCATGAAATTACCGCATTAATGTATTTAGTTCCTATACAATAACATTTAGGGTCAGTGAAAACAACCAAAAAAGACTTAATGCAACAACAAATATTTTATTGCTCATACCTGACAAGTTTGGCTCTGTCACTACAAGCGGTGGTAATGTTAGAAACAATTTTATGGAGATCATCGTATTGATGGTAATCAATTTTAGATATTTCCGAGGTCAGCTGGACGGAAAGTTTTGTAACACTGTCACTGCTCACCAACACCCGCTGCGTCAAGCTCTCGTAACCTGAAATATGAAATGTTGAAATCGACTAAACTACTTATATATATTATTATTAGAATCTATATAGCAATTTTATACCCCCAATATTTGTATGACCATACAATATATTTTCTATGTTGAACAATGTGCTATGGAATTATTCTTATATTGGGCATTCGAGTGTTAATCACATTTTACCATGTACCATCAAGGTGTAGTTTTCACTTTATTTCTGCCAGAGGGACCAGAAATCAGATTTAGAAAGTTACAGCAATCACTGTTCAAGCCATCTGAGGTTAAACAGTATATATAATATAGGAATTTTGCCGATAAGTGGTTGGTTGGTTTGAGGGAAGGGAGGTACTCGAGCAATCCAAGTCTAAACGAACAAAGTTTAACTGTATTATACAGGCTCATAATTATGTGTTTCTAGAAAATTATATTTTTAAACAGACCAAATAGGTGATTTAACATTAACAAATATATGAGCTGCATCACAACAAAACCAACATAGTGCGTTTGTGACCAGCATGGATCCAGACCAGCCTGCGCATCTGCGCAATCTGATCAGGATCCATGCTGTTCGCTATCAGTTTCTCTACTTGTAATAGAGTTGGTAAGCGAACAGCATCGATCCTGATCAGACTGCGCGGATGCGCAGGCTGGTCTGGATCCATGCTGGTCGCAAACGCATAATGTTGGTTTTGTCATGGCGTGGCTCATATAATACTGTTTTCACAATAAATTACAATACCTGGTGCAGATATTTCTAGTATATGTGTTCCTTCCGTCATGAGGAAATAGAACTCCCCGGTAGGTGTTACAGGGTGAGTTTGTACATGATGATCTATTTTTATCTTTGTATCTGGAATCATACTTCCTTGAACATTCGTCACTTTACCGTATGTTCCTGATAATAATAAAAATATATATCATATCATAATGACACTAGTTGAAATCGTACATACATTTAATTCAAAATTTTATCTTTCAGAACAACATTGAAATGTCTTTTATGTTCATGTGATGCTCACTGTTTCATTTTTAAATTTCTTTTTTAAGCAATATATTATATAATTCGTAATAATCATGTTAGAAAATGGATTTTTTTTTTTATAATAATCATTTTAACCAGCATAATTTTAGGTGTGTCAGTCTATGAAATGATACCGTAACAACAGACCATTACAACAGGGCAGACAGACACAGGCAATTTTATAAACAGGCACATTCATGATTAAGATTGTAAGAAAATTATTCATTGAAAGTTTGTATAAAGCTCTATGCAAAATGAATGGAATGACTTTTTTCAGGTGAAATGATCATTTATAATTACCTTGTGTAGACTTTGAGACGAGGTTCAGCAAGGGTTGTAGAGAGTCCATCCAGATCTCAGGTAGCTTGTCTCCTTCTGGGAACTTACAACATGACATGTGAACTGACAGCTGAAAATATATTATAACCAATCAATAAGCATCACCCTTAACCCATTTAATTTCTTAAATGGACTTGTCCAGAAGCAGTCAACAGTTTTAAGTAACACCTGACAGCGAGAGTAACTGTTGGCCTGGCATGCTATCATTGGCATAGGTAAGTCATTCTTGCATATCAGACAGGATTTTCTAAGGATTTAGCTCAATACAGGATTGGAGCAGTACCTCTAGACGCTTGCAGAAATCATGATCACAAAATAGACAAATATCGTTTTTTTCGCCGAATTTTACATTTTTCCTTGATTATCGTACTTGATTCGGTGTGAAAAGATGAATTAGATCTGTTAAAGTTCATTCCGTTGGGTAAAAAGACAAGATTTTAGCATTTTATCATTCAAGCGCCTTGTCCGGTATATACCGGAATACGGTATTTAGTGTGGTGCTCCAATCCTTTTTTTAGTCACAGCCATTTTCTAATGGTTACACTACTCCTAGAAAAACTCCATATTAAGATAAGTCCCTTGCTTTAAATGGCACACTTTTAGTTACATCCTTTGTTTGACATTAGTTCGCCTTCAACCAGTATTAGATTATTTTCATGAATCCATTAGTTATTTGTTCACAGTTCTGACCTGGAACCTTTAAAACAATGATTGCATCAGATATAACCGATACAATGTTAGTAAACAAATCTTTGAATTTCTGGAATTCGTAATATAACTATGTATAATGTTGGCATAGAAAAGATATAATCACAGGATCAACCAAATGTTACAAATAATTGTCTCACCATTAAAGAATGGTACTTGTTATACACTTCATCCATCAGTACTGCATTACTGTCTCCTTTAAGCTGGGAACCATGCTTTATACCATGAGGTAAATCCTTGTTACAGGTTTCTGGCTTGTACATTGAAGGCAGGGAATCAGCAAAGGAACGGGCTAAAGCCTGGAATATGTCCTCGTCATCTGTCTGCATCAATCCATCCAATTCATTCTCCCATGGGATTCTAGTGAATAATAGCATAGCGAACTTTACAGTCATGAAACTACAAACTTTTAAACATTTACTTTCATCTGATATCTGTTTGCCACATATATTTCTTTTAGTGTGTGTTGTTTTTCTTTTCTCAACAAAAACATGTAAACATATCTTTTGACTTGCTAAAATAATTATGAAATCTATATACATAAAAGAAAACAGTGTTAACTTATTCATGCTTTATCTATGCATGTTTTGGTACAGTAACAACAAGCATATTCAAAAAGTAAAAAAAGCTATATATCTGTTGCCTGTAGTTTTCAATTATTTTTTTTTTTTTTTTTTTTTTGAAAAAAAAAAAAAAGAATAGTTTCAGTATACCTGTAAGTTAGAAATATGTTTTGTGTGTTTCCTTAAGAGTGAATGGTGCATGCACAATGGTTAAAGCCTTTATTAAAAAGCAGCATATTTTGTTATTCATATGTTTTAAATTAAGGAGACATTCTATGTTACATCCCTTTTGAGAATCAACAATACTTCTATGGAAATAACATAATTTTACCATAAAATATTTCATTAGATATAGCTTGATACTATTTAACAATACATTTTTCATACACACACATTGGCTAATTTATAGCAACAGACTCACACAACATATTGTCCACCAGCTGCCAGACTTACGACCAAATTGAACTTGTGAGACACAAACTCTCTTCTCAATGCATCTAACTTAGCATCCTAAAATATATACATAATTAACTAACAATGTTTTACATGTATGTTATTTCAATCAATACAGCCAAAAAACCAAAACTGGTAAGTCTTAAACAACCCCCATGGTGGTGTTGGTAGTTTTCAATCCGAATCACAGCAGTAAGCCATATTGAATTTACCAGAGCACAGTTCAACCACTGTATTGTTCCTGGGCAGGCTGTGAAGCAGTTTACCAGTACTAGTTGCCTTCACTTTCGCAAGGAAATGATTACTTCTGTACAAGCAAAAGCAAAGGTACAGTGCAAATGTCTGTAGAAAGAATTTCATGATCAATCACAACGGAAGTGATTTGCACTGTCTGGAAATCGAACCCAGATCACCTGATTCACAGTTCAACGCTCTACCTGTTGAGCTAACCGGAGAGAGCTTTACTAAACCCCACCACTCCCTCCCCACTTTATTGAGCCAAGACAGCAGGAAAATCCTTTACAAGCTGAACAGGTTCTAAATTGTTGCCCGACCAACCTTCAATATCTTTACTATGATATCTCTAAAATGATAATGGTGTCTGTTTCGATCAAACAATTTTTGAAATTAGTTGATCAAGCTGTTTTTAAAATAAGTTGGACCAATTTATTTTTGAAATAAACTTTTTTTAATATATGTATGATCAAAATTAGTCGGATCAATTTTTGAAATTAGTTGGATAAAGTTACTTTTGAAATTAGTTGAATTTAACAATTTTTACAATCCAACATATTATGGGTTAATCAAGACCAATTGCAAACTGAAACAATTTTAATTCTTAAATATGTTCATTGAAGTTTTGCTGCAAATTTAGTATCAGAAAAGTTCTTAAAGGTGTTCAAACTTTTTTTTTCTTTTTTTTTGTCTATGGCAGTTTGATTTCTGTTGCATTTTTTCTAAACTGCAAAAAAGTGGCCCTGCAGAGCAATAAAATTTACACAATGCACTCTTCTTATAATAAGGCTTCAAAACAACTTTAAATTGTGAAGAACAACACCAATCTCAAACGTATCATAACATTGTCTTCCCAAGGGTGTTGCTCTATAGAGGTAGAACTGTATTTTCAAGCAATAGAAAATACATACCTCCAGTGAAAGACTATGGAATTCTGAAGTGCCGTTATTCCGAGCTCCCGAGCAATCTCCCATTCTCGCGTTTGATATTCCATTGGGATCTAATTCTGGTATAATATGTAGATGACATTTGGACAATAAAGATACAATCTCTCTATCTTCCTGTAGGTAACCTAGGAAACAAAATAAATAATTAATAACATTTTTCTTTATATACAGTAGAACTTCTATGAGTTGAACTTCGATTAGTCGATTTTCTCGATGTGTCGAAGTAAAATGAAAGTCCCGATTTTTTCTCTTATATATTCCATATAAAAACCTATTTATGAGTCGAGATTTTATGTGTCGAATTTTTCGATGTGTCGAAGTTTTTTCATGGTCCGTATAGAATAAATCTAGTACAATTTACCACAAATAAGTCGAAGTCCTTCGATTATTTTGACACCATCGATCTCGAGACATTTTTCACACCTTTTCTCGCCGCGAAGACGATTTCCGATCAACTTAAGTGACACGTGTTAATTACACAGCCGAGTGTTCAAACAACCTTTGAATGCGTTTAAATGTGTGAAAAAATGCTTTAATCGTTACTTATTTAATTGCCGTAGCGGTATTTGAAAGTACATGTTAACAGTAAGAACAAACATACTTCCGTGACCCGGTGTGGCGTGATAATCACACGCTAAAATATTTACTATAAGCTGGTTAAGTTATTGCCCTTTCGAATTGTTACACCTTTTGTAACTTCATTGTATACGTCAACAGGTAGTTCAAATCATTAGCCGTGAAAAGTTACTTAACACGTCATATTTAGCATTGCATAAAGTAAAATATCAGATTAATAAATGAAAGAAAACATGAAATAGGTTACGTTATAGATCTTATAATTAGGGCTAGTCACAGATTGAAATTTTGTCATGGAATTCAGAACGATTCATGAGTCGAAGTCCCGATGTGTCGAAGTTTTTACGCAAGTCCCTCCAACTTCGACTTACCGAAGTTCTACTGTAGATGTAACTTTCTTCATTATCGAAATGCTAAAGGTATTAACAATGACTTATTTAAAAGTATAAGCATCTTTGTAAAAACTTACCTTGTAATAAATGCCTTATAAATCGTAGCAACATTTCCACTGTAACTGGGTCATCACCATGAAGACCTCCGATCAACAGAACATGCGGTTTATCGTGTTCATGATTTTTCAACTGCTTTGAAAGATGAACCAATGGCACAGCATATCCCTCATTTGTTTGGTGAATGACTGTGTATTCCATGATCTCTAGATTAACGTCAGCTAGATGTCTGAGTTCCGTCTGGATATTAATATTTGTCGAATATGTCTTTGCGACATTTTCTGTGATACCGTAGTCTGAGTCTCTAGACCACTGGAGTACTGGTGACTTTGTGAGTGTGAAGTTTAATTCTGTTGCGGCATCGAAACTGACATGTACAACCACGTCCTTTGCCTCATATCTGAAACAAAATATAAGAGATACACCTATAATGACCCAGTGACTGAGACAAGTTAGTAGCAAGTTGAGACAGTGCATACATCATGTGAAATCATTACCATTTCCTGTGTGATTTGATAAAATAAATATATCCTGCTATGTTATGGTATTGTCTATGGTTAATTTTAGAGTTGCCAAAGTCAAAACATAAAGTGAATGATAATGTATAAGCTAACCTAGCACCATACAAATTACTAATGTGCCATAGGCCTAACATTAACACTGAAAGCAGAAAAGTTATTAAATCTAAAGATTCTGCGTGGAAGCATGCAAGTAGATCATTATATACACAATGCATTAGACTGAAACAATAAAAAAGTTTAAAACATGCTAATTTTGGCTTAATCTGGAACCATTATTTTACTGACCTCAAATTAATTCATGTACAATGCACAAGTTCACATCATGGCAACAATACTTCCATGCCTTTACCAGTGATATTTATAAAGTTAAGCACATCACAAGCCTGTCTATGTATGGAAAGCATAACAAAAGGACAAAAATACACTTATTTTCACCCAACCTCAAAAAAATAGTGGTGACATAAAATTATCAAATGATGTACAGCAATCAAATTTCATTGTATAATTATGAACTTTGCATAAAAACCATAGCATACCCAGGTGCCGAGGCGTGTATGTGATACGTATTTGGAGCTAGAAGTCTCCAGTAATCTCCGTCTGCTGCGGAGTATATTGTATGGTTTATGCCTGTAACTTGTATACTGGCGTTAGCTATAGGTGCACCTGTATGTTCATCCAGTACAAATCCTCGCACACCCTTATGTACCTGTAAATAAATTCATATAATATTATGAGGAACAGTACCAAATCGGATATGACATTATAGTACATACAAATTATTGGAAAAAAATAAATAATAAATTCGAATATGATGAATGTAACATTATAGAATATACAAACCATCTGAAAATGTTAACATGCTAAGTACATGTACATCAGTACTTTAGCTTGAAAAAATCAAAAGTGTAAATGTGTACATAACAAGTTAACTCCTATTAAATTTAAAAGGAGTTAAGGCGTTACTGTACTAAGGTGACTATATGTGCACAGGAAATCACCTCTATGATCAGAATTTAAAGTCACAATGGCACTGTAGAGGTCATATGGCTTTAATTACTGTGGAAAAATTCAAGTTGCCTGTCCATCACCTATAAACAGCTAATATTAAGTACGCACTCTAGCTTATGGAATGCTCCCCATCTTGCAACCATCTTATTTTCAACAAGCAAATTCGTTGAATTTATATCCCCCGCCGAGTACTGGTTATTATTAACACAACAACTGAAGACATAAGGCTATGCAACAGACCAGAACCATTTGATCAACTTTGGCAGGGGACCACCCTAGGATCATTCCTGTAAAGTTTGGTTGCTGTGCAGTCATTTGTTTCTGAGGAGATGTTGTTTAAAGAAATTGCTGACGACGCATGACGACGGACGGTGGGGGATCACAATAGCTCACCTAGATGTAAAAACATCTTAATCTCCAGACTTCATTATTCGTAATTTAGTGATGTTGATCATTATTCCTGTAAAGTTGGTTGATTCTAACTCAAGCACTCAAGGATCAAATAACAACATAATGAAACAGTTTTTACTAAGTCAAGGGAAATAACTCTACAAATACTGGATAAATTCACAAGCGAAACCCCAGGAACAAACTAAATATGCTGAGCAACTTTCCAATAAGGTTAAATGACTCTATGTCAAATCCTTTTTGAGTTACATGCGACACATGTTGAAAATTGCAAATATTTTCTAAGTCAAGGGCAATAACTCTAAAAATACTAAATAAATCCAGATGAAAATACCCAGGTGCACAACTACACATGCTGATCAACATTCCTGTAAAGTATCATGACTTTAGGTCAAATACTTTTTGAGTTACATGTGACACAAGTTGAAAATTGCAAAATTTTACTAAGTCAAGGGCAATAACTCTAAAAATAGTAAAAATATCCGGACGAAAATACCCAGGTGCACAACTACACATACTGATCAACATTCCTGTAAAGTTTCATGACTCTAGGTCAAACACTTTTTGAGTTACATGCGACACAAGTTGAAAATTACAAAATTTTACTAAGTCAAGGGCAATAACTCTAAAAATACTAAAAATATCCAGAAGAAAATACCCAGGTGCACAACTTCACATGCTGATGAACATTCCCATAAAGTTTCGTTGAAATCCAGCCATTAGTTGCAGAGAACTACTCCGGAAACGAAATTCGGACGTTTTACTAAGTCAAGGGCAATAACTCTAAAAATACTAAAAATATCCAGACAAAAATACCCAGGTGCACAACTTCACATGCTGATCAACATTCCCATAAAGTTTCGTTGAATTCCAGCCATTAGTTGCAGAGAACTACTCCGGAAACGAAATTCGGACGGACGGACGGACGGACGGACGGAAGGACGGACGGACAACGCCAAAACTATATCCCCCTCCCGATTCCATCGGCGGGGGATAACTAAGGTCTAAGATACAGATGTAATTTTTGTGCTGTAATTTTAAAACAAGTAATAAACATCAAAGTTAATGTTGAAGTTAAAAACTTTATCTTTTCAACAACTTCCAGCAAATGTCTAAGGGCGAAAAGTCGAAACTAGCACTTTGTATTTCTACTTTCACTATCAACTTGTTTTGAACTTCTTACAAATATATTTTTGTATCGCTTTTTTTCTCCTGTACATTTCATCTTTTAATTTCTTGCACTGACACACACCTGCACAAAATACTCAAAAGAGTGTGATGTTTATAGATCAATAGATAGATGTATAGGATAGGATAGGATAGGATAGGATAGGATGAAATGGGATTGGGATTTGAATTGGGATTGGATTGTGGATGTGGATTGGCTTGGGGATGTGGTTTGGATGGGGATGTGGATTGGATTGGGGATGTGGATTGAATTGTATGTGGATAGGGATTTGATTGGGGATGTGGATTGGATTGGGTATGTGGATGGGGATTGGATTGGGAATGTGGAATGGGAGAGTGGATTGGATTCGGGATGTGGATGTGGATTGGATTGGGGATGTGGATTGGATTGGGGATGTGGATTGGATTGGCAATGTGGATTGGATTGGTGATGTGGATTGGATTTGGGATTGGACTGGGGATGTGGATTGGGAATGTGGATGGGGATTTGATTGGGGATTTGGATGGGGATCAGACTGGGGATTAGATTGGATAGAACTGAATAGGATAGGATAGAATAGATAGATACTTTTTCTCTCTGAATTTAAGACTAAAACAAATACAACTGTATTAAAATTATTACCTGTCCCATAAACACTAAGAGAGAATACTTGTTGGCTGACCAGAACTTTGGTATCTCTGTTGCCTGTGGAAATTTTGTACATCCCAGCTCTAATGTTATCTCAAAGCAATTTGTGTGAACATAGTTATAGTCTTGCATACCACCTGGAATAAAAAATATAGAATTAATTATTCAGACGAAAATCTGTGATATAACACAACAATACAGTATAACAAGAGCTATCATTTAATGTTTCAGACTAGTAATCTAAGGATCACTAGCTACCTGGGTTTAAACCTTAACAGGGTCAAGCCAATGTTTCCTTGAGCAAAACAGTTTACACTTATTGTTCAGTACTGGTTGGTTCCAGGAATAGATTAGAGAGTGTGTTTCTAAGCTTATAGTTTCCTACAAAATCAAACAAAAATAAATTCTGTGTAAACTAAGAGCTATCAAAGGGCAGTGCCCTAAAGCATTCTAAGTACTTGATATTAAAACACATGCCTAAGTAATGTACAAGTAACAAAGAGGAAGATTTCATCCGAAAAATAACATGACATAATTATGATCACACTACATGTACATAGTTATGACCAAAAATTGTTTTTAAGTTCAGTAAGGGTCATAATTTATCCAAAATTCATGCCAGACTTATGAGTCTTAGACAGTGACTTTCAATCATAATTCTGAAAACATGGAGAATCATTCTCATGAGAATTCCATTGGTAGGTTCTTTATTTAAGATTTCATTATCATTGGTAGGTTCTTTATTTAAAATTTATGTTGCTCACAAAACTTATAAAATTAAATAAGCAAAACAATTGCTATGAAGGCACCAAATATATGTAGATAAGCAAAATACATGTATTGTAACAAAGTTATCATTTATTGCTACAGTTATATGTCCTGTGATCCATATAATTTGTGTAATGATAATATACAATGTACATTTTGTACTATATTAGGAAAAGCATTTATGGAAAAGCATTTTACACAGCATTAAGCAGTACATATACTTTGAATTGTGAAACATTAAAATTTTTCTGACCTATATGTGCTATTCTAACAGGCAAACTTTGCAAGCTATCTGATTCGACTTTTCTATTTAAAACAGCAAGCTTTCAGATTAATGCCAAATATTAGGAAAATTTAGAAAGGTTTTAATATAGTAAAAACATTGTCAAGTGTGTACTGAACAATCACTAGAAAGTGATTAATGCAAGCATTCAGTACTTTAAAATCACAAAAAAAGTCATAAAAAACATGTCAACACATGTAAAAATACCCTATTCTTCCTCAGTTGTGACAAAATTTAATATGGTGGGGAAAATGGTGAAAAATAGATTTAAAAAATCAATTTGACCATGTGATGTATAGAACATGCAGAGGAACTGAATCAACTTTTGATAACATTCACACATTTCTTAAAATTTAAGTAAACTTTCCTCTAATTTCATTTTTTGGAAAAAAAAATAAATAATAAAAGTTGTAATTTTATCCTCATCTGAAGGCAAGCAGCCTTAAAGCTTGTGTTTTAAGATGGATGTTTTATTTCAAATATTTTCTACTGATGTACAGTAAATAAAAGCTAAACAAAATCTTTCATACAAACATTTCACTGTACATTACAACAATAGGCAAAACAGAGGGCAATTACCACATTTAAAATATAGAATTACTCTAGTATGCTTCACGTTGCAAACAAATGTGGTAAAAAAATGCTGAAAACATTACGTTTTTCCCAAACAGGACTTGCTTTATCAGAAAACTACAATGTAACCAAATATGTTAATAATGCATATCTCTAAATACTTTCTTAACACAAACTTTTACACTTCAACAATTATTGAAAAATCAGAATTTTTTTTTCAAGAGTTTTTTGCGTTATTTGATTTAATTTTATTTAACTGTCAAGTTGTTCAGGTTTTGAAAATCTCAAGGATATACTCCTTGTTTTAAACTCGCCAACCCCATCCCAAAGTCCAGCTGATAACACTTGACAAACAGACATCAAAATTAATGGGCACTGTCTTTTTCCAAGCCATAAAGATTTGACAGTAAGAAAGGTGTGTAAAATCGTTCAAACCATTCATAACAATTAATTAGGATAATTAATTAGGATACCAATCATGTACTTCCCTGAAAATCAATGGTGATATCAATTTTAGAATTACAGCCATTTATTATCATCTACCAGGGGGTATATATAGAAAACTTATTAAAATTTATGGAAACAAACATAGTGTCAAGACATATTCTTGGCTCAGGGGGCTTAACTCTCATAACTTTGGAATCTAGAAAGGGCCTCAAAAATGTCACCATGCAATGGCCTATTATCTTTTTAGCTAACATCTTAAATTTGATAAGTTATCATTTAGTAAAAACCTATCTACTTTTGAGAAAAGTTTACCTGTACAAATGCCTAAATACTCAAAGTATCAGAGATATTAACTTACACAAATGTTTATATAAAACATGAAGACAATAATTGTGTGGTCATATTTAAAAATTTCCACTTGATATCAAGTATAGTATACATGTATTTATGTTACACAGACGGATGCTCCCCTACCACTTTGAAAAAAACTGAAAATATGACCTTGAGGAAAAGTAAGAAAATCTATCTTTAACCTTAGTGGCCTTGACCTAATTAACCTTGACCTCCAACCCAAAGTACAAGGTCCTAAACAATACATATACTTATATACCAAATATCAAAGAAATTGGTCAATAAATTTTGGTGCTTTGTGAAATAGTTATCTATTAAAAAAAAGGGACTGAAAGACGTAAAACTAAATGTAAGTATTGCCTTACCATGTGGTGCAAGTTGTTAGTATGTGGCTTAATATAATGTTATATACCACACAGGTATGGCCATGCTATATATTCTTCTCCCTGGCGGCATAAATTTGTGTGAACTATCTTTAAAGAATAGTCCTTGTAATCATACAAAAAAATCTGATTTTTCAAATTTTCATACCAGACGAATTATACCAAGCCCTCCCCTCTGTGATGCCATCTTTGAAGTAGTCATTGCTAATGTTGGGACACGACTGGCCAACATGCATTGTGGGATGTGCCTGAAAATTCCATGCAAAAAATAGCATTTATTACCACACATACAAACAGGAAGGTAGGGTGAAAATAAAGATGTGCCTACCAGCAACACTATACCAATGGGCACCGTTTGTGATACCATCTTGGAAGTACTCGCTGCTCTGTTGCGGGCAAGGATGGCCTGAATGCATGGTTGAATGAGCCTGCAAAACATAGTTTCATGCAAGCATGTAATAAAACCAAAGCCTTTGAACAAAACAAAAAAAGGAAATCCCATAAAAAGTCTGAATGAATCAATAAAATGTCTAAAATAGTAATATAAATCATTAAAACAAAGCATTTAAAGCTCTATCACCTTTGAATACCAAGTAAATAAGAAGCGTATAGGCAAATATAAAACAAGAAGGGATATTAAACAGTCTCAGCATAGATTTCACACATTTGTAAAAATATTTTTAGTGACCTTGACCTTTACTCTAACCAGCTGAATAGCAGTCCAAAGCAAGGACTCCACATAAGCTTTCTATATATCAAGTTTTAATACAATATCTTTCTAACTCCCAGTCATCAATTGGAAAGCACATGTTTAACACTTGCCAATCTAATGAGCCAGGAGTTACAAAATTGTTAACTTGGCTAAAACATGGAATTTTGAAAATTCAGAATAAAATTGTCAATTTATCTATCTAAAACAAATTAATACATATTAAACAAAAGAACAAGTTTTATAATGTATCATTAATAAGCAAATGAATAATGTATTCTTAACAAACAATTGAACAGATCTTCTGATGTATTGTAAGTAAACAAAAAAACATGTCTTTCAATGTTTTCTTAGCAAACAAAAGAACATATCTCCAAAGAAGTGTAAGCTAACAAAAGAACAGGTTCTCCAATATACTGTTAGTAAACAAAAGAACATGTCTTTTAAAACAAAAGAACTATGGTTTGCATTTCAATGTATTGTAAGCAAACAAAAGAAAAGGTCTTTTGAGGTATTGTTAGTACACAAAAAACATGGACAGTTTGTCAGACAGACCAGCAAAGGAAATTCTACAAGATTTCCTCCTACCCCTATATGGTTGGGACATTCAATTATTCCAATGTTGACATCTTGATTTTCCCCAATATTGAGCTGCAAAACATTCAGATCTCAATTTTATATCCTAAAGTATGCTTAAAAGAAAATAAAAACATGCAAAACCCTAGATGTACAACTATCCATGCTGACCAACATTCCTGTAAAGTTTCATGTCTCTTGGTCAAATACATTTTGAGTAATACACAACCCAAGTTGAAAATTGCAATTTGGTTAAGGGCAATAACTCTACGAATACTTAATAAATCTAAAAGCAAATCACGAGGTGAAAAACTAATCCTGCTGGCCAACATTCCTGTAAAGTTTCATGACTTTGGGTCAAATACTTTTTCAGCTAAGTTTGAACTTGCAAATTTTTACTAAATCAAGGGCAATCACTCTATTCTAAAACTGAATTAATCCACACATGAAACCCCAGGTGCAAAACTTCACATGCTGATCAACATTCCTGAAAAGTTTGTTGACTTTACCTTAAGCACTTTTAGTGCTACAGTCATGACATATTTTGGAACGGATGGACAGCCCCCTATCCCTATTCAGACAGGGGCAAATCTAAATGCCTCCCCAAAAGTGGGGACATAAAAATTAAATGACTTCCAATGTATTGTTAATAAACGAAAGAACATGTATTTCAATGCACTGTTAGTAAACAAAAGAACTTGTCTTTCTACATATTGTTAGTAAACAAACAAAAATGTCTTTCAAAACAAAAGAACATGCATTATAAAACATAAGAACATTGTCTTTTAAAATATTGTTGATAAAACTGGCAAATTGTTGAAAAAATAATGAAAAGCTTTTAGATTTTAACAAAAGGAAAATAAAACCAAAGCCCCATAGGCTTGGAAAACCCCAAAAAAAAAAAAATTTTGAAACAATAAAAAATGGGGTTTTTTTAAAAAAAAAATTTAAATCGTTATTGGCAACATAATAACCGTTTAAAACAATAACTGGCCAACAAATATAACCCTTAGTTTTCAACATTGATTTTGTTTTTTATGCCCAAATTTATGTCATTATGTTCATATTTGTTTTTCAAAAAAATGATTACAATAATATCCGAATAGGAGAAAACTATTTTCGTGGGGTGAAAACTTTTCGATCAGATCAAAAAAAATACATTGTTTTGTAAAACCAAAATACAAACAATTGTCATATCTTGTCATAAAAAGCTAAGGTAATATTCAGAATCAAATTAAAACTTTTCCATCCCTTAAGTCAAATACTAACCTCTGTTACGAGGTATTGAATTTTCTAACAGGTTTTTAGCTAAAAACTGACTGTACCCATTCAAACAGATAAACGTGACAACCCTTAATAAACAATACATTATTGTACTGCAATTTAGCAAAGGAAAATTGTAATCTAATTCCATTTTAACATACTTATAGAAGGAGAATTGTTAAAAATATATTTAACTACAATAGCAGAAATAAATTTCATGTCGTTATTCAGTTTGTAAGCCTATGTATTTTCTTTTCTTATCGTGTACACATACATGTATATCCTGTAATAATACACTTGACCACCAAGTCTTATTATTAATATGAGAATAGTTTGAAGCATGTTAGAATAGAAAACAAAATACCATGTCTTCCTTAGTCCAATAAATTGTGGAAATTACAAACAATGTAAAAGTAATATGGGCAACTAATGATAAACCCCCTTTGCCATTCCCTTTTTTTGGGGGGGAGGGTTAGGGGTTTTTTTTCGACAAAGACGTAATTCAATGGCCACATTTCCCCTTTTTCATTACAGAAATCCCTGAAATAAAGCATGAAAACCACAGTTTTTTTTCATGAAAAAATCAAAAAATCCCCCGGACCCAGTTCATTTTCCCCCTTTAAAACCCAAATTAAAAAATATTTTTTCCCCCATTTTGCAAAAATACAGAGTCATTTTTCAAAATATTTATGGCCCCTTTCCCTTCCTGTCAAAAAAACCCTGTCAATTATCAAAGAGAACATTGAAAAGCACAGAGGCACATCATAAAGAAATATTCAAAATCAGCCTTCACAATCATTACAAAATAACAACAAGGTTAGTGATTTATCACTGCTGTCTTAACTATCTTTACATATTAAAGGCCCTCTTCTATTACAAAATTTATGTGAAAATTAAAAATCATGTTACTTTAAATCAATTCAATTAAACAGAAAATTTGCAAACTAAATCTATGTTATCTTAAAGGAAGAAAAACCCATTTCTACTCTAGCACTACTACAGACATACCAAGGAATACGACTCAGCTAGCTGTATAAAGGTCGTATCATCTGGACATTTGCTGAAAGCTGCCGTTCCCTTTAAACCATCGTCGAATGGGTAGTTCGCAACGAGAGATCCACCGTGAAGATTTGCTGACAACACAAATGGGTATTCTGTCAACCACTTCATCACATTCTGTGTTTCTTTCTCTTGGTGTGCGTTAATTTTTGTCGTTTCAAATAGGTCAGGAAAATTGCGATTCAAGTCAACACCATGAGCATTTGAACGGCCTCGTACTCCGGCAATATCACCTGGCAAACAAAAATTAAAATTATTTTAATTTATTCACCTACAATGGACAGTAAACTCTGCTAAGCAGCTTATAATAAAATTCAGGGGGACTGTAATATTTATATTGCTATATCCTGATATCATTATATCCAAGAGGCAACCAATTTGTAAACAAGAGTCGAGGCCACGGAAACAGCATTGTTATAAGAGATATATCTTTATAAGTGATATCGTTATTAGTTTTCTGAAGTTTTAATAAGCAAATTGATTAACAAGTCAAATATACATCTTAAAATTAGATTTTGGTAAATGTTTATTGCTCTTTAAAATTGTTTAAGTTTATATTATCCCAAGTTGCAAGGATGTGCTATCTTACATGTAGCAAACTTATAATAACATAGTCAGTGTAAAAAGCTCATCAGAGCTTATGTTTATTGTTATATGAAACCAACTTATAAATAAAATTGATTATGTTTATTGTTATATGAAACCAACTTATAAATAAAATTGACTTGACTTGTACTGCCACATAACCTGTCAAAGGTCTCTATTGCAAGTATATACTAATGCCTTTTTCTAGTAAAATTTAATTAAAAAATTTGCTGGAGCTTGTTTAAAGATGATAGATAAAGACTTCACTATAGCCCTATGAAAAATAAACATTACAAAAGATAAGAAGCACAGGGAAGTGCAATGTTAGGTATAAAAGATTCAAACACACTCGAAGACAAAAATCCTACATGCTAGGTCTATTTAGCACACGTTCTTGGACATTGTTACTTAAAATAAAATCTAGTGAGTCCTTATTTAATCTCATTTTCCATTTTAATACAAAAACCTTTTCAAAGTCAAACAAAAATTCATACCTAGTGTTCCTCGAGAATATCCGTCAGGGTTCATAGTGGGCATGATATGTATACGCGTTAGGTTTACCATCCCTGTGATGAAATCATTAGAGCCGTAGTTCTCACACAGTAGCTGTATCAGCAATATTAACATTTCTCGTCCAACTACCTCGTTACCATGCATGTTTCCTATGTACTTAAACTCTGGCTCTCCTGCAATGCACAAAGGTACAGACATTCAATACTATATGAACAAGTCCACCCTCTTAGCTCAATAGAAAAAACATAATTTAGTATTTCAGGAGCCTGGTTCAATTTTAGACAAAGCAAATTTGGGTTTTGAAAATTTGATTTTTGAACTTGGTTCTAATCGCATTTGGTAATAAAGGGGGAAAAGTTTTTCCAAAGAAATTTCAGATAGAGGGATTTCCCTGTCAAAAAATATGATCAAAAAGGTTTTAAAAATTGGGCATAAAAAAAAAAAAAATGGGACAGATTTTTTATATAAAATCAAAAAATCGATCCCTTTCTTTAAATTTAAAAACCTTGAAATAAATTTTTTCAAAAAATTTGGGGTTTAAAAAATGTTTTAAGGGCCCAAAGGGGGAAAAGGGGTCACATGACCGTAATAACTTCCCCTATAGCAACTGTGGGTTAAAATCTAACATATTCTATTTTACATGTATTTATGGAATTTCTGTCACTGATTTTATGATCCATGTATCTGCTTGTTCTTATAAACCATCTTGTTTAATACTTTGATGACCTGGTTCATGAACATATGCATGAATATTTACCTAGTTCATGAATGTTTTCAATTCATGAATGTTTACATGAATAATTACCTGATTCATGAATGTTTGCATGAATAATTTCCTAGTTCATGAACATTTGCAAAAATTATTACCCGATTCATGAATGTTTGCATGAATCATTACCTAGTTCATGAACATTTGCAAGAATAACTACCTAGTTTATAAATGTTTGAATGAATAAGAACCATTGCATGAATAATTACCTGGTTCATGAATGCCTGGATTATCTGATATTTCTAACACCCAGAGTGTTCGTCCCTCCACAGATTCACCAATGTCATACAATCTTGTAATGTGTGGATATTGGTCAGCGTAACGTCGTAGGAATGATTCCAGTTCTTGCTGGTTGTGATGTTTGAATTCTAGTGGATCTACGAGGGTGGTAGCCTCTCTATGAGCAGCATCTCTCAACTTATTTACCCTACTCACGAGCATGTCCAACGTGTATTCCTTCACGGTCGGAGGGCTGAAAATAAAATAATACTCTGTTACAATAGTGATATCAGCATTAACTTTTTCTCCCAAGTGGTATTATCAGGTTTGGAAGTTTAAACTGTCTAATGCTATTTAACCATATATAACAATCATAATTAAAATACTAAAACTGAGCACCAAATGCTATGGTCAGTCTGACATGGACAGATTACAAGAATAATATCTTATAAGTGTATGTTACAGAAACATCAAATATAATTCAAAGCAGACGACACATTTAAAAGGTACCACTTAAACAAACAATAATTGATGCTGAAATGATGCACAAAGATAAAGAATAAATTATCCCCCCGCATGTTAAAGTGCATGACAAAATAAATGATAAAAGTATCGAAGAAATGTCAAATAATATAACATCAAGAACAAGGTGTGTTATTTGGGGTTGCAGTCAACCAAAAAGCAATGGGAAGGAAAAGTGAAGGTAAACTAATACTTTTGGGATTGAATCTGTGTTACACAATGAAAAATTGTACATTTCCTCTATTTATATGACAATTTTGGATAGGTTTCATGTGCATTGGTATAAGACAAACATAATTATACTTAATGAACAAGTGTGGATCTTTGGGGTATACCCCTCTGGAATTCTAATATCAAATTATATTTTTAAAGTGAAAAACACACAAAAAGTAGACTCATGATGGTTGACCCTTTTGTTAAGCTAGTAAAATGCCAAACCCCTTCTAAAATTTTATTTCGTAAAAAAATTCTTGGATCTGCAACTAAATGTAAATGTTTGATAACCTTGATAGGAAAAAATTAAAAACCAATTATTCTACCATCTGTTAACCAGTGCAGAACTATTTACCTACTTAACTTTCTCCTTTCCCTTAATACAGTAATATCAATCATGTTTTATACATAATTTCAAGCACAATTCATCTTTTATATAGAGGATATTGAATGAGTGTAGAATTAAAACTAAATTTATTGAACAAGTTGAAATCATATTATCCAAGGCTCTGGCGAGCATAATATTTTTTTTATCTAATAAATTCAATAAATTTAGTATTAAACCTACATGAATATCATTATCTATTTATCACATGTTCAATATAATATGATATAAAACCATAAAAAAAGATCGAGTTACAGGATCTGTTGTAAGAAATACATTTCCTCTGATACTGATCTGATTATAATCTAAATATAACTTTTCAGAAATAAATAAAGCTCTGTTATGGCTTTAATATGACAGTAGATTAAAATATGGACACATGTCTCTATTGAACCTAGTCCTAGACATTTTGCAACAGCTGTATATTACTGATTGTAATCTAGATAAAACTAACATTGTATATAAACCCACAATTTATCTTATCATTTATTGTTACTTTATTTCACTGACAAGCCAATTTATCAAAGCTATTCTAAATCTTAAGGTCATAATTATTAAATGATTGGATCAATAAATCTCTTATCAATGTCATGTTAAGAATTTCATTTTGTTTATTTTTGTAAAGGTCCAAGATAACATATTGAATACATAACAAATGCTATTATTCAGTCCTCAACTACATGTATATTAAATAGTAGTGACTGAAGTTAATATTAAGTCAAACTGTTATATTCCTTTAAACACAAAGAAAGGCTTCATGCAATTAAGGTGATATAATGCTCATTTTTTCGTTGTCAAGTTAGTTTATACAAATTAATTTTAGTTTGATTTAGTTGGTAGCTATAAGCTTATTAAAACTCTCTCAAATCTGTTCCTGAAACTAACCAGCAGTACTAAGTAATGAATGTAGTTTCTTGTTCAAGGAAACCACAGCTCAAGGAAACCACAGCTTGCCACTGACTTGGTTTGAACCCACATGGTCAATCCTTACTTAGATTACTAGTCCAAAGCTTTTAACATATGGCCACACCATATGAATTAGATAAATATTTCAAAAGATTGCCTATTGTAATGAAGATTTACCAATAATTTTTAATTAGAAATGTTTAGGATAAAATATCAAACTACCTAAAATATATAAAGACTTCCCCAATCTTTTCTGAAGGATATTTATAGAAATTTCTGTGTGAATGTTGGTTATTGAATATTCATTTACAGTATAAACAGGAAATCGGCAAAAAAAATGGCAAAATATAAACTTATTTTGATTCCTTTTAAGTGTACTCTCAACATTTACACAAGCCACTTTAATTTCTTAAAATTCTCTTTTTATAACGCCCTTGTTATATATATAGTGAAAAAAATCCTTGCAGGAATTACATAATTCATTTACCGAATGTTATAGAATAAGGTTTTGTTTGTTTCATTTTATGCCTTTTTCCAACAGTATTTCTGTCATATAGGCGGGTAGTTTCCTAACCATCGTTCCTGGAGAGTTACACCAGTACTAGACTACCTTCCTCCGCACTAAACTACCAAAGCATCTCCCGGAGATCGAACCCGCGCCAGAGAGGTAACATTGACTCTTACTCATCAACCACGGAGGCGGTTCATAGTTCATAGAATAAGGACATTTAGAGCAAATGTTTTAGTTACCTTGGACTTGTAATAGCTGCTCTCTTAGTAAGCTCAAACTTCACTTCAACACCATCATTGTTAGGGACAGATAACTCATCACTCTCAAAATCTGTATATCTGAAATATATAACAAACTAGAAATGTATCAATAGGTCAAAGATGTAAATGTACCATCATTCCATTGTTTTGTCAGTCTATTTATGGGCAGCGTGACAGCCGGATGAATAGACTAAGCCAAATCCATATGCCTCAGTCATAATATTACCAATGGATTGTTCCAAATCTAAAGCATGGAAAGGAATAAAATATAAGTATTATGCTTGTTTTTCCAATCCATACATGTATATATTTTGATGTAAAATGATACTTACTTAAAGCAAATGTATATTGTACAAAAATAAGCTCTGGAAGGGTTAATTATTCATTTCTCAAAAGGCAAATTCACATACATACATACCAATAGCTCATTGAATTAAAAGATACTTTACAGTTACAATAATATAGTCATATACATGTACTGTATAGTGGACATAGAGCCTAGGTATGGACAAATCCTTGTAATATATTCAGGAGCAGAACCCACCAACCTTCTATAACCTAGCTGGATAGTTTCCCCTAAAGATTCAAACCCACAGCAGTGATGAACTTATCATGTACAGACACCACCATTAAAACTCGGCTAAGACTTGTTACATGATTATTTTAATTATTCAAAATCTCTGGATCACAGGGCATGTGGTAAGAATTCATCTAAGATTTAACCTGCTGTAAAGTTACTTTTTTGTAAATATAAAAAAGCTTACTTCTGTCAATAATGCTGTATTTAAACTTAATTAAAGGAAGTTTTTAAGTCTGAACAAATGAAATATAAATGCACATAACCTCTATCACTGTCAAACAGAGTCTGTTTGAGAGTATAAAGACAAAGAGCAAAGCAATGCTGTTGTTTTTTGTTCTTGTTTTTTTTTTTTTTTTTTTTTTTTTTTTTTTTTTTTTTCATCACTCTCAAGTCTCAAATAAAACTTAATTTACAGATAAAGGGCAGTTTCTACATAAACTGCGAATATAAACATGTTATAAGAATCATACCCTTGTGCATAAACTTTAAGTTTGTATGTTCCCTGTACCAGCAGTCTCCAGAAATAACCATGACTATCAGCAGTAATATTATGTTCTATATTATCTACAGCAACCACTGCTCCAGGTACAGCTTCCCCGGTCTCCTTGTCAACTATCTGACCACTTATACCTGTCTTTACCTGTAATAAACAAAATGATGCCATGAACATACATTCTGTATTATTTCATATATCATTATGAAAGTTTGTAGTAATCTTTACATGCTTTATGCACCAGCCCATGCAGAGTAAGGGAAAGATGGGAAATGGGCCAAACTTTTATATGAGAGAAAACTGGGAAATGGGCGAAATTTTATATGAGGGAAAGCTGGGAAATGGGCCAAAAATTTTATGAGGGAAAGCTGAGAAATGGGCCATAATTTTATATGAGAGAAAACTGGGAAATGGGCCCCCAGGGGGTGGGGGAGGGGAGTAGTGGCAACACATTTGTTTTACAAATATTAGCAGATTTCACTCTCCTTTATTTTTTGGATTGGTCTTTGAATTTTTGTCCAATTTTTAATAACCATGGCATATTTTGAAGAATTCTTTTGGACATGAATGTTTGTTGTTTTTTTTTTGTTTTTTTTTTAGTATTTACTTTGTCTTATATTTTTGCTTTCATTTTGTGTAAATTTCACGTCAACAAATAAACAATTATACTCTTTGTTTCAATCTCAATTTGAAATTGTGCTTACTTTACATTTAGAGACATTTACCTGTTCAATATAAGAAAGTAGAGCCTCCCTGTTATTTTCCCATTCCTGGGACAGTTGTGAGCTATGGGGATATTTGCAGCAAGATAATTCAACAGTTATCTCAAAACAATTGCTGTGTAGATAGTTATAGTCCTGCATGCCACCTGCAATGTTAAACAATTACAGTAATCAGCTGACTTAAGGATTATCACCTGGATGTTCATTGTTAATAGATTGGCAATCCATATCATCGGTTGAAATGCTATCAAAATTGCTGGTACAAGTAATTTCAGCCTATACATTTAAATATTCCCTAAGCCAAATTAATTGTTTTCATTGGCACATCTGTTGCCTCAGATAAAAATGAAAACCCTGGCTATCACACAAACTGATGTACATGTACCGTAAAATTCCTAATAAACGCTCCTCCCCTAAAAAATGTTTAGCCCCCGGGGGCGTTTATTAGGAATTTTACGGTATATGTCTTTGCATTAAAATCTGATTTAGTTTCGACTGAAAAACTCATCTCTCATCAACCTCTAAAGAATAAGATATTCATTTGAAAATTCATACAATGTTTTTGAGATCATAACTGGAGGCTTTTCAAGTCAAATAACTCTAGCATGGATTTTGACTGAATAATCACCCTTTGTTAACTTAAGATGTTCCTGATTCAGGTTTGGCTTTGCACTTGACTGGTATTACAATTTCCAAAGTTATTCATACATGTAGATGAACTATCTTTTGCTTCTTTTGCTCTGTTGGTAAATGATATAATTATAGTGATTTAGTATTTTGTATGAAAGTCAAAATACTTCTTTTTTTATATTTTGCTATCTTAATGACACAACAGCACATTAAGTGCTTCATTCTTTAGTTGTTTACCATCTAACATGTCGAAATAATTTTTTTTTAATTATTTAACGCATGTTTGACCTTTCTAAAGAATTTAAAAATACTGATTTCTGAGGCATAATGTGCCTTTTAAGAATGGTTTAACAAACAAAAGTTTTTTACCTGGAACATCGTACCAATGAGCACCATTTGTAATCCCCCCTGTAAATCTGTCTCCACATCTTGGGCTATTGCTGTGCATGGTCAGGTGATTGTTAGAGTAAGTCTGAGCCAGGTGCTTGAACACGGCATCGTCTGGAGCTTTACTATACACACCTGTAATTATACAAAAATAAATAATACAAAAGTGTTTTTTCTTTTTTTATTTTACACATAGGGGAATGGTAGCAGGGCCTGTAATGGAGGGTAAATAGGGGGAAGAAAAGCAATGAAAACAGGCACAGAAACATGTGTGTAAAATCAATGGATATTGTTCACTAGATTAGCATGTGTTAATGATTCACCACTGCAAGGTTTTACAAATGCTGATCCAGGTGACCAGGTCCTTGCAAACCTTAAACTTTTTGATTTGTGAATTTGATCATTTGATGGAAATTAAGTGTTAAGGACAAAAGTAGCAAATTTCTAAAAATTCTTAAGTAAACAACAAGCAATTATCTAATCTTTATCAAAGCTTTCTGCTTACTGTTACATGTTATCATGTTTAAATGGCTTCTGACCCCTTGAACAAAAACAGCAATTCAATATTTTGGAATTAAATATAATCTTTGGGACTTTTCACTCAAATTTTTTAATGTGTAGTTGGGTAATATACATGTATCATGCTTTAACACTGAAGTTCTTAAAGTAAGTGGGCAATTTGAACAACTTTGTTGCTAGAACATCAAAGTGAATTCATCTTCACCGCTGCACTTTTTTACTTACAGCATGTATAAATCTTTATTAAGCACAATAAATTCAATCCTCTAGGGGAAGTGATAAACACTGATAATTTGATATGACAAACTACCAGCTAAGACAAACTAGTGTAAAAGTATGTGCACATTTACAAATGTACATTGTAATTTATTTAGTGTCGGGTATCGGACTCAAAAATCACTATTGATTATAGGACCACCACAATCGATTTTCTGCCGATGGTATAACCGAGTTTCGTACTTATTATGGCCTTTTTTTCTTTTGAGGTACCAATCCTTGTATGTATTTTTTTATACTATAGTGACCACATTTTGAGAATAAATAAACTCTTGTCTCCAAGATTAAAGTATGATTCGCTCTTCAACACAAATACCTAATACTACTTTGAGACAGTCAATTTTTGTATAATACAACTTTATGGCAGTCAATATTAGTACTAGTCAACAGGTCAAAATATTAATGAGTAGTATTGTAGATAACTAATTTAACTACAGTAGATAATCATATATAAGTTTATAATGTTATGATATTACACACTATAATTTTCTAGATGTTAAATAGGTTTTGAATACAAACAAGAGGGCCATGATGGCCCTGAGGTCGCTCACCTGTATATAGCCCCCCCACCCCCCCCCCACACACACACACCCATAAGAGGATGTTTCATGCTAAACATCTAAGCTCTAGCTCATTGGGCTTTTTAAAAGAAGATTTTTTTAAGTTTTTAACTATAAACATATAGTTAAAAACAATGACACCCCTGGGCCGGGCCAGTTTTGACCCCAGGGCTTTTATTTTGAACAAACTTTGTAGTAGACACTTACTAGAAGATGTTTCATGCTTAATATCTAAACCATAGCTATTTGGGTTTTTTCAAAGAAGATTTCTTTAAGTTTTGCTATACACATATAAGGAAAATCAATGACCCCGGGGCAGGGCCAATTTTGACCCCAGGGCTTTTATTTGAACAAACTTGGTAGACACCTATTAGAACATGTTTGATGCTAAATATCTTAGCTTTAGCTCTTTGAGTTCTTTAAAAGAAGATTTTTTAAGTTGTTACTATATGCATATAGGGAAAATCAATGACCCCCTGGGGCGGGGCCAATTTTGACCCCAGGGCTTTTATTTGAACAAACTTTGTAGACACCCTTAAGAAGATGTTTCATGCTAAACATCTAAGCTCTAGCTCATTGGGCTTTTTAAAAGAAGATTTTTTTAAGTTTTTACTATACACATATAGTTAAAAACAATGACACCCCTGGGGCAGGGCCAGTTTTGACCCCAGGGCTTTTATTTGAACAAACTTTGTAGACACTTACTAGAAGATGTTTCATGCTTAATATCTAAACTCTAGCTATTTGGGTTTTTTCAAAGAAGATTTTTTAAGTTTTTGCTATACACATATAAGGAAAATCAATGACCCCCGGGGCGGGGCCAATTTTGACCCCAGGGCTTTTATTTGAACAAACTTGGTAGACACCTATTAGAACATGTTTGATGCTAAAAATCTTAGCTCTAGCTCTTTGAGTTCTTTAAAAGAAGATTTTTTAAGATTTTACTATAGGCATATAGGAAAATTAATGACCCCCTGGGGCGGGGGCCAATTTTGACCCCAGGGCTTTTATTTGAACAAACTTGGTAGACACTCATTAGAACATGTTTCATGCTAAATATTTTAGCTCTAGCTCTTTGGGATCTTTAAAAGAAGATTTTTTAAGTTTTTACTATATGCATATAGGGAAAATCAATGACCCCCTGGGGCGGGGCCAATTTTGACCCCAGGGCTTTTACTTGAACAAACTTGGTAGACACTCACTAGAAGATGTTTCATGCCAAATATCTAAGCTCTAGCTCTTAGGGTTTTTTAAAAGAAGATTTTTAAAGTTTTTTCTTTCGGTTGCCATGGCAACCAGAGTTCTGCATGGAATTAAATTCTTTGAACAATTTTTAAAGGTGACCACCAAAGGACCATTCCTGTGAAGTTTGGATGAAATTGGCCTTGTGGTTTATGAGGAGATGTCATTTAAAGTAAAAGTTAACGGACGACGGACGGACGGACGCCGGACGAAAAGCGATCACAAAAGCTCACCCTGTCACTTTGTGACAGGTGAGCTAAAAAGACTTTAGGATCGTCTGGAATTAAAGAGATTCATTCGGGAAACTTCTTTTTGACCGCATGTAAAAAAAAGTTATGCCCAAAATAATCGATTTTTAAAAAGGACTATCGATTGTCGCCGATTTTGGGGTGGTCCGATAAGTTATCGATTTTCAGAGACAATCCGGACAACACAAATTGTTAATAATAAAATTTATCTAATTTTCAAAATCCTAGTCACATGGTGACTACTACTGTAGAAAATTGTAGTGTGTAACTGTAATAACATAATATTATAAACTTATATATCTACTGTAGTTAAATTAGTGATCTACAATACTTCTCATTAATATTGTGACCTGTTGACTAGTACTAATATTGACTGCCATAACGTTGTATCATACAAAAAATGACTGTCACAAAGTTGTATTAGGTATTTCAGTGTTGCATCTAGAATTTCAAAATTATGGGAATCGCCCCCACTCAACTGGAAAATGTGGGGGTTTTCAAAAATATGTGGGGAACATATTTACCTTACAATATAACATACAGAAAAGAATTCATTTATTTTATGTTCAGGCATTTTTGACAGTTATCGTTCGCTCAAAAACGGAAGTAGAAAAAATAAAATATTGACGATTACTACAAAACACACGCGAGATGACCCAGTCGGCTGCGTCACGCGATTTAGTACGTATTTTAGTCATAACAACGTGTGAAAACAAACATAGGTTCCAAGATACGATGAACATAAACTGAATTAAGTTGAAAAGATTGTCAGATGGGCGACTTAGCGCGCATTGACTGCATAAATAATGCGCAAATTGAGCAATCGCGCCACTATGCAAAACTGGTATTTGTATTGTTTGTTTTGAATTCAAAGAGTAAATATTACTTTTATCTTGGAGACCAGACTTCCAGATATACATTGGTCCGACGGACATGTCCGATAAATTTTGATTAGGTCCGATGTTTTTTTAATCCGGATCGGTCTGACTGTCCGGCTTTTAACCAAGTGGCATGTATACAAAATAGCGTCGCTAAAGGTGCTAAAGGTTATGGGAATAAACAAAAATCTACGCCAAAGGATTGCGCAGAACAGCAGTAAAAGGATAAAAAGAATAGACCTGAGACAAAATTTAATGAAAAATGGTAGCAGGACCGTGAATCATTGGTGTACGACAGGGAGGAGATGAAAATGGGCTGTACAGACTGTGCCGATTTTTACGCAAAAAAATTTAAAACGAAAAGTTTCTTAGAAATTCAAACACAAGTTTTCCTTTCATTTTGATTAATTTTATTCAGTCTGACAGATTTCGTTTCAATCCAACAGATTTTCATGGTTTGTCAGACCGAATGTTTGACACTTTTTTTAAACTTTCGGGAAGTCTGGGAGACGAGAGTTTATTTATTCTCAAAATGTGGTCACAACTGTATAAAAAAAAACATACAAGGATTTGTACCTTAAAAGAAAAAAGGGCTATAAAAAGATGCAAAACCCGATTATATATATACTATCGGCAGACAATGTGGTGGTCCTATTATCGATAGTGATTTTTGAGTCTGATACCCAACAGTGCTTGGCACCCTATTAGTCTGACATACCTGTAGGTCTGTGTGACTGTGAATCGTCAAATGGATATGATGCTACAACACTGCCCCCATGCAAATTTGCAGACAAGATGAAATTTGTACCCTCAATCCAATTGATAAGTGCTTGTGTTTCAGGCTGTATGTCATGTCCAGAGAATCTATCAAACTGATCTGGAAAATTTCTATTTAAATCTTTATTATTTGCATTGGCTCTACCCAAAAGTCCATCACATTCTCCTTCTTTGGCACTTTCAAATCCGTCAGGATTCATTGTAGGCATAATAAAGATATCAACAGTGTTGACAAGTTTGGTAACCCTGTCATTTTTGCCATAATTTTCTAAAAGGTACTGAATAAGATATATCAAAATTTGACGGCTCACAACTTCATTTCCATGCATGTTCCCAACATATTTAAATTTGGGTTCACCGAGCTCTTCAGTACCAATGTTGTCACTAATTTCTATAGCCCATAAGTCTCTGTTTTGAACACTTTTCCCGACAGAACGAAGTTTGGCAAGATTGGGGTAAGTTGCCGTCATATTGTGCAAAAACGTTGTTAAATCCGCATAATTATAGTAAAATGTCGTATCAATGGCCCTTGTTAAACGCTCGTGTGGAATGGCAATAGCTATTCCAAACAAAACGGTTGTAACACTAATTATTTTCATTTTCAATGTAAACATACGTGGACTACTGTTTACTTGCAGACATTTTTAGAACTTCCGGGTTTACTGTAGACGAGTTTACAATCTTCGTATTTTGAAATCGGCAAAAATTTACAATGTAGCAAACCGGTCTAGTACCGGTAACATACGTGTTTAAAAATTACACTTGACGGAATTTTTAATGTTGGTTTATGGTTATATTTTAATTCGCATGATTAATACGTGAATATTCCTAAAAATATAGCACAAATAATTTTACACATATAATATTATCAGGGAAGGTAGATTACCAGCTGTTATTCATAATCGAAATTTGGCGAAAAGAGCAGAGAAAATGCGAAATTGTAACATATCACATTTGCTAATACAATAAATAAAAACTCATAGATTTTCAGCAAACTTGATGAGAAATTTTTAATAAGATATGTGATATGTGGGGTATCCCAGATTTAGATTGTTTTGTTTCTAGGTTAAATGCACAACTAAAGATGTATTGCTCTTGGAAACCTGCCGTTATATTTTTGTGCATATTTAAGATAGGTAATTTTCAGCTGCTTTTATTATTCAGAAAGGAATTATATATATAATATATAGATAACAAACACATTCAAATTCAAAGATCATTTATTGACAAGTTTTGTGTACACTTTATTTAAAACATATGTTTATTGTCAAAGAAAATATTCTTTTTTATTTTTGGCATACATTGGCATGTGTCATTGTAGGTTTAATTAAGTAGTCAGTGGACCCCGTTTGGAAATAAGTCTTCGGGCTTTCATTGGCAATCCAAGAGCACTATATATAAAATAGTATAATAATAAATGTGTCATGTCTTTTCTCTCACTCTTTATTTGTATTTGTTCATGTATATGCAATGTGGAAGAACAATTTGTAAATCTATATGTAGATATATACACCGTAGGGAACGTGTTACAGTATCGCGTTTTTCGGTTACAGTATAGAATTTTCAAGATGGAGGATTATTTGTTGGGAGGGCAGGTATGTGATTTTTATTCCGGTCCATACTACAAGTAGTTTAGTTTCTAAAAGATGTTTTTGTGCTTTACTTGGAAGGAATAGAATCCGGTATTTAGTCATATATTGCTTTAGACCCTGCACCGCAGATTTATCGCTATATTGTCTCATAAATATGCAGATTTGACAGTTTGAAAATTTGAATCGAGAGACCAACGCATTTTTCTCCCATTCCGACATTATTTAAGCATGCCTAGATAAAATAAATCTAACAAAACGTTAGTCCTTTATGTTTAGAAACGTTTATAAAAGTAAATGAACAGTTGAACCTATTTTCCTGTTGGTAAAATGCGTATGAAAAAATAAACAATGTTTACAGTATAGAGCGAGGTTAATTTTGAAGGGTTACAGCATAGACCTAGCGACTTGTATCCGATTTTGTTACAGTTTATACCCAAATTTCTGTTACAGTTTAGATATTTGCCAAATTTCAAACAAAGTTCGTGTATCCATTCTTTTTATGAAATAACTCATACATTTCTATTTAATACATTCTTGAAAGGCTGTATTACTTTTTTCAGCAGAAAAGTTATAGTTTGCTATTTTTCTTACTTTAAGTTTCAGATTGAGACTTTTTACAGAATAAGTAATGTCCTAAGTAAGGACTGTTTTCACGACAATAACAGTAACTTTTATCGAATTGTATTGAGAGAAGAAAGATTATTGCTTGATATCATTACACATTATAATAATGCCTGTTAGTAATAAAATAGAGAAAAATAATCCTTAACAGAAGTCCAACACGGAAAACATGAAAATGTTGCAGGCTCCATTTGATTAAACCTGTTCATGGACGGTAGTGGTAACTGCAAGCTACCGTCCACGCCCCTAGCACCGGCTTCAGCAGAATTCACATTAAACATGAACTGGTACACTTCAGATTTTTTAATATCTGTGGATGTGTTCATATGGCGGTTATCATGGAACCTTCAATGTGACACGTTATTGCCATTCTGTGAAAAGCGGCATATTACCCCAGGTTAAAAAGTGTGTGTGCCCTAAACGAGAATACAATGAGTGAAACTAAACAAAATGAAATTTGAGAGGGGATCGGAGATCATGAAGCTTGCATACCATAGATAAGCTGTCAAAAGACACAATTAACAGGCAGGCAATACCCTAAGAATGATTTCTACCAAAATGTATTTTGTAAGTATTTAAAAGGGTTTATGAATATTTTCAATTTTGTTGTGTTGGAATTTCTTCAGGGATTCTGTTTAACTCTATTTTGTTACGTTTTGGCTTTCTTGGATTTAAGTCAACGACACTGAAGTATGTGAAACAATTCTGCTTTAGTTGTAACGAAAGACCCAATACCCTTTGTGTAAAATTAAAAGACGTTACACGACGGGCACCTGAATAGAACACGAACCTTCGTAAATTAGCGTTGATAGATGTCCTCAATACAAAGGAATCCAAAGTCATGATTGATTTCACTAAGCAAGTAAAGAAAAGATTGATTTGAAGTCGAACGGCTATCGCCGAACTCTGCAGTATTAGTACTTCCATACAGTTCACTAGAGAAGATAATGTAATTGTCGACCTTATAATTTTATACTCTAACTTTCAATGTATATTTTCTTTTTCAGAAAATTTAAAACTGCTATACAGGATGTATAAAGAAAAACGACTTTTAATTTAATAATGACAAAATAATCGTAACTTCAACAAAGACGCATTCGAAATGACGCCATGATCAAGATTTGATTCGAATGCTTTTGGTTCGAGATGAGTAGGGTCTATAAACATTGCCTTTTTTCAAAATCTATGTTTTGGGTTTCGTGTCCCCGATTGCAACCGAAACCATTTGAACAACTTAATTGGTAGAAAGTCATGTAAATGTCATCACATTTAGTCAAGTATTTACTGAGCGGATGAGATTGCACACACATATGTACGACAGACGGACGAATAGCCATCAGGTCAATAAGCTCACAGAGATTTAAAAAGTCTATGTAACATTCAACATTTTACCTAGTATATATAGAAAATATCGAAGTCTAAACTGTAAACCGAAATCTTTGGTATACGAACTGTAACAAAATCGGATACAAAATCGCTAGGTCTATGCTGTAACCCTGCACAAATTACCTCGCTCTATACTGTAACATTGTTTATTTTTTCAAACGCATTTAACGAACAGAAAATAGCTTCAACTGGTCATTTACTTTAATAAACGTTATCCTAACATAAAGGACTAACGTTTTGTAGATTTACTTTTTTAGGCCATGCATAAATAATGTCGAAATTGCAGAAAAATGCGTTGGTCTCTCGATTCAAATTTTCAAACTGTCAAATCTGCTTATTTATGTAGACAATATAGCGATGAAAATCTGCGGTGCAGGCTAAAGCAATATATGACTAGATACCGGATTCTATTCCTTCCAAGTAAAGCACAAAAACATCTTTTAGAAACTAAACTACTTGTAGTTTGGACCGGAATAAAAAATCACCTACCTGCCCTCCCAACAAATAATCCTCCCATCTTGAAATTCTATACTGTAACCGAAAAACGCGATACTGTAACACGTTCCCTACGGTGATATATGAGATTGGTACATAGCTCTATTATAAATTAAGGCGGGTGAACATATATACATGTACATTATTCACAAGTTTCCAAGGAAACATCACATTTATTGATATACTATTGGCAGCAAGATCTATAAATAATTTTTCCGAATTGTTAAATTAATTATTTTAAATTCAAAGTAGATAAATGTAAATTTAACTCAAAATGTGAATATTAAAAAACGGTAGCGTTCCCGAAACAAATCATACAATATTAAGCAACCTTTATATTTTATTTTACACCTCATGTTTTAACAATTTTAATATGTTTAACTCCTTGACAACATTTTCCAGGAACAACTGATATTATATAAGAAAGAAGACATTACAAGTTATGCGGATATTTTTTCTTCCGTAACAGTTCTTATCCGTGTATAAAGTTATACGTGTATGTATTTCAAGAATACGACATGGCCCTCAAGTTGAATTAAAATAATAATGTGCAATCAATCAATCCTCATGCACTTCCGACGGTTTTTTTTTAAACAAAAGTTGGGTTATGTCAAATTATAGCCAGCGTTTCACATTTGCAAAATATCTTGAAGAATCTAAAGCTATATGATGCATGCCCGCAGGAAGAATTTTCAGATTGGGAATGGGGGCTCAATTCCTATTGGAGAAAGGGGTTATGTGTGCACCCCACGCAAAAAATGAATCTACATATCAAATGGTGGCTTCTAGTACATTTCCAGATGCAAGTTTTCAAGTACAAATTTCTACATTTTTCCAGAAATTTTCATGCTTTTGTTCATGCGAAAGTGTCAAGTACTATACATTCCTAGATATTAATAAGAATGATAACTGTACAATGTGCATTTAAAGCACTTTGCTCTTAGGATAATAGTTTACATTTATACTCGTATATGCTTTCATGGTTATTGATATATACACTGTATATGAATGAACCATAATAAGGCACTGTATTACTGACCATGAAAACCCTAATATGCAGATATCTGAGATAATATGCATATATATATATTGAAGTTGTTAGCCTTTATGAAGGCTGTCTTGTAGACAGTAGTCAATTTGACACTTTTAAATACAAAACACCAATTAGGACAGAGCAAAATCAAAACAAGCTTAAATGTAGGTCTACATTAATATAGAGCCTTAGGATTCGCTTGGAAGCACGCGCGACTCGGTGCATCTTACGGACATATTTTCATTTATAGTTGCAGTCGCCGAGTGAGGATTTTACCAGAAATTTGTTGGTTGCACGTTCCCAAAATTCCCCAGGTGTTGGTCCGGAGTTGCAAGTATCTGTATATTTATATATAAGTAAATATGAAAACGTCGACGATTTCCTTGGAAGTCTTATGTTGCACGTGCTTTTCGTGCATTAAGTGGAAATAGATCGTTACTTACTTATGTAAAAACGCATAAACATCTTGGACTTACATTGAGTGAAGATGGAAAATGGCACGAACACATTAATAATATTATGACATCAGCTTCTAAAGTTCTAAGCTCAATGCAATCATTGAAATTTAAACTCAAACGAAATACATTAAATCAAATTTATTTATCATATATGCGACCAATCCTCGAATATGCCTCCACTGTTTGGGATGGCTGTAATGAAAATGATAAACATTCTCTTGAAAAGATGCAATATGAAGCAGCGCGTGTTGTCACAGGCCTAACTAGATCGGTATCTATAGACCGTTTACTTAGAGAATTGGCTGGGTATCTTTGTCGGATAGAAGAATTATGCAAAAATTAATAATAGTTTACAAAGCACATCAAAACAATGTTCCAAGCTACTTACTCAATCTTTTCCCAAATAGTGTCGCTAATTCTACTCCATACTTCCTCCGAAATGATAACAACTATGTGACAATCGCACGGAGAACACAAATATTCGCAAAATCTTTCATTCCTTCATCCATAGAGTTATGGAACAATTTGGATGATCATATTAGACATGCGGCTTCTCTTAATATTTTTAAATCTCGTCTCAAAGAAATTTAAAACCACATACTTTTCCTAAATATTTTGTATACGGAGATCGAAGTTTATCTGTTTACCATGCACGTATTAGAAACGAATGTAGTAATCTTAATGCGGATCTTTTGTAAAAATCATCTACGAGATAACTCACTTTGTAGCTACTGCACATGTACATCCAGTATTGAAGATGCCGAACATTACTTTTTTAAATGTCCCAAATATAACGAAATAAGAGTGCAGTTATTCCGCTCAACTCGCAGTTTCCATCCTTTGAGCGTAAAGACCCTTTTGTTTGGAAAAGAATCTCTTTCTGATGAGAATAACTTATTTATTTTTGATAAGGTACAATTATTTATTAAATTATCGTGTAGATTTGAATCTTAATTTTTTTATATTATCTGTACTACTTGCCACGTTCAATTGATATCCCTACTTACTGAACTCTATCCCCTTTTTTTTCTTTTCTTTTTATATAATGTTTTTCTTCTTCTTTCTCCTTGTGCATTTTTCCCTTATTGCTCTACTATCATACAATTTGGTTTGTAACTGTCTTATTATTATTAGATAATTCAATATATCAGGGAAGAACCGTTTGCTGATGTTGTAAGAACTCGTGGTTCAACCCTTTTGCTACTTTTGTATTTATACTATGATAATATAATGTTATAAATGTGTAAAAAGAGCAATAAAATATGTTTAAATCAAATTTAAATCAAATAGATCGTTAAATCTGCTTTAACAATGAAAAATTAATCAATTTATCAGTGAACACGGGTGCATTACCAAAATACAACTAACTTTAAAATGTTCAAATGGGATTTTCATAATAATTACGACTTAATCAAATAACTTAAATATCAGTGGGTATAATTAAATTTTTAGTACTGCATGTTTTGGGTTGCTTGTACAGTAGCAAGGCTTTAGTTATTACAGCCTTGGTGTAAGCAAATATAAGGAAACGACCATAATTAAAGCTGTGATCCTACGTTTTATCCCAGAAGACGTAACAGTTTTGCAACATAATTATTACGCATTATATAACTCGTGCAGGCCTACATTTTATATCAAATATAAAAATAAGAATTCGTCTAAAGCCAATTGTTATTTTCACTGCAGTCGACTAAACGTCACTTCCTGGTTTAGCTTCACCGGTATCAACAAATTTGACACGATGATCTTATTATCTATGATTGGAAATATTTACAGTACTATGCAGCGATCTTCGCTCAAATTGAACACTCTATTGTCACTTTTATTCTCGCTATCACTGTTTACCAATTGCATGGGTATTGGTGAAGTGATATGGGCCGTAAATTGTGGAGGGGAGGCTCACACAGATATTCATGGAATCAGGTACCAGGAAGACAATTTGCAAGTTGGAATATCGTCTGATTATGGAAAGTCATTAATGATTCAACGAGTAGTACCTCAAGATCAAATTTTATATCAGACAGAACGTTACAATATGAACACGTTTGGATATACACTTCCATTGACAAAGGATGGAAATTATGTTCTAGTTCTCAAATTTTCAGAAGTTTGGTTCACATCTCCAGGTCAAAAGGTATACTTTACTATCTAGAATTTGTACAGTGATAGGTTACCTGTTTGAATGAATTTATAATTACTGACACTACTGTAGTAGTCGCCTGTCATTTGTAACCCTGGTTTTATGGAATGTAACAAGGTCTTTCTGTTATGACGCAGCAAAGCCCTGTTATAATATTGAAAATTGTGGTGCCAATTCCTATACAGTGTGAGTTGGGCCTTATCCTAGTTTGGTATGGCATTGACAACACAATGTAAAGACACAAAAAAGGTAGAGACATTGCCTTGGAAGCTATCCTTTGCGCACATCTTAGCCATGGTTACAAATTACTAGTTCATTAAGTAAAAAGTTAATAAGAATGCATTGAGTAATGCTGGGACATAATATAACATGACAGCCGTAAACATTCAAAGTTACAGTTATGTTGAAATATTTCTATGAAATGTTTAATTTTTAACTAATAAAGGAAAATCTTAGTGTAAAGTTGTTTTGCACAATTTGACAAATATGTCAATATAAAAAATGTTTCTTTTACAATTTAAAGGAAAATTCATTACTGCGCCAAAACTTTACAATTTCAATTGAAATTTTGCAAGTTAACTTATTTGAAACCTTGGTCCCTACATAATTTAGGAAAAAACCCTGGTTATGAAATTGAGCAAACATCCAATCCATAATCATACAGACTAGTAGAGTAAATTTGACTGCATGATGAAATTGCTGGCCCGCTTTAGCTGCCTCTGTAATCGTGGCTTAGGCAGACACTTTTTACTACTAAAATCCAAAGGGTTAGTGTGCTTAACACTAGTGTTCACAAAGGGTAAATGACACGTACACTAGTTTTCAAAGGGTAAATGACATGTACACTAGTATTCAAAGGGTAAATAACATGTACACTAGTATTCAAAGGGTAAATGACATATACACTAGTATTCACAAGGGTAAATAACATGTACACTAGTATTCAAAGGGTAAATGGCATGCACACTAGTATTCACAAAGGGTAAATGACATGTACACTAGTATTCATTTCAAAGGGTAAATAAAATGGGGTAAATGATATGTACACTAGTATTTAAATGGGAAATGATGTGTAGACTAGTATTAAAAGGGTAAATGACATTTATACACTAATTTTTAGAGGATTAACAATATGAACACTAGAGTAGTATTCAAAGTGTACACTTGTATTTAAAGAGTTAATGACATGTACACTTGTATCTTAAGTGTTTATGACAAGTACATGATTGTAATTGTTATATATAGATATATGCATAATTATGCATAATGAATAAATTTACTAAGCTCACAGTACAGAACTGTTCTCCATTCTCTAATAAAGTAGAAAGTAAGTAATATAGAAGGTAGATCTGCAGAAACATATTTTGTGGGGGGTAGTACCGCGGTCAAATCCTGATGAAGATGCATATTATTTTTTTCACCCCTTATCTTACAGATTGCCTTATGTCCACATTTCTCTAAATACATGACTTGTAACACCATGATATTACTCCATAGATAAGTACATGTAGATATACTATATTTCATGAATCAGAATGTGGTAATTGATTTCACTGTGTTGTCCTTTTTTATGTAGATGTCTGTCTGTCTCAAGAAAATATTTCATATTTATTGCAGCGTATTTGGCTATATAAGATAGCATGGTGTAATTTGTATTGGAAATTGATTATATGTTGTTTTTTGGTTGCAATCAACTAGACCTTGGATAGTACACTGAAAAAAATACTTGTAGTCAAAAGATAATTCCTGTTTGACAATAATGTACTACATGTACAGTACTGTCAGTACCTATCTGACTATGTACTGTATCTACATTTATCTAATTTAGATGTTTTAGAGCTTTGCTAGCCAATACTCATTTTACTGTAGAGCTTTGCAAGCCAAAACTGTAAAGCTTGATAAGCCAAAACTTTAGAGCTTGGCAAGCCAATACTATAGAACTTGGCTAGCCGGTCTGCCCTCTGTAATTGGCTAGCCAATACTGTAAAGCTTGGCTAACAAAATGTAAACTGGCTAGAAAAACTTGGCTTGCCATTTACTGTAAAGCTTGGCTAGCGCAATTACTTGTAGAAACTTGGCCAGCCAAATCCTATAGAACTTGGCATAGCCATACTGTAAGAGCTTGGCTAGCCAATACTTTGGTAGAACTTGGCTTGCCCGGGTACTGTAAAAGCTTGGCTAGCCAATACTGTAGAACTTGGCAAGCCAATACTATAGAACTTGGCTAGCCAATACTGTAAAGCTTGGCTAGCCAATACTGTAAAGCTTGGCCAGCCAATACTGTAGAGCTTGGCTAGCCAATACTGTAGAACTTGGCTAGCCAATACTGTAAAGCTTGGCTAGCCAATACTGTAGAACTTGGCTAGCCAATACTGTAGAGCTTTGCTAGCCAATACTGTAGAGCTTGGCTAGCCATTACTGTAAAGCTTGGCTAGCCAATACTGTAGAACTTAGCTAGCCAATACTGTAAAGCTTGGCTAGCCAATACTGTAGAGCTTTGCTAGCCAATACTGTAGAGCTTTGCTAGCCAATATTGTAGAGCTTGGCAAGCCAATACTGTAAAGCTTGAAGCATGACAAGCCAATACTGTAGAGCTTGGCAATCCAATACTGTAGAACTTGGGTAGCCAATACTGTAAAGCTTGGCTAGCCAATACTGTAGAGCTTGGCTAGCCAATACTGTAGAGCTTTGCTAGCCAGTACAAGGGCTTTGCTAGCCAATATTGTTAAGCTTGGCAAGCCAAAACTGTAAAGCTTGGCAAGCCAATACTGTAAAGCTTGGCTAGCCAATACTGTAGAACTTAGCTAGCCAATACTGTAAAGCTTGGCTAACCAATACTATAGAACTTGGCTAGCCAATACTGTAAAGCTTGGCTACCCAATACTGTAGAGCTTGGCTGAGCCAATACTGTAGAGCTTTGCTAGCCAATATTGTAGAGCTTGGCAAGCCAAAACTGTAAAGCTTGAAGCATGACAAGACAATACTATAAGCTTTTGCAAGGCAAATACTGGTAAGAACTTGGGTTAGCCAATACTTGTAAAAAGCTTTGGCTAGCCATACTGTAGAGCTTGGCTAGCCCAATACTGTAGAGCTTTGCTAGCCAATATTGTAGAGCTTGGCAAGCTAAAAAAACTGTAAAGTTTGAAGCATGACAAGCCAATACTATAGAGCTTTGCAAGCCAATACTGTAGAACTTGGGTAGCCAATACTGTAAAGCTTGGCTAGCCAATACTGTAGAGCTTGGCTAGCCAATACTGTAGAGCTTTGCTTGCCAATACTGTAGAGCTTTGCTAGCCAATATTGTTGAGCTTGGCAAGCCAAACTGTAAAGCTTGAAGCATGACAAGCCAATACTATAGAGCTTGGCAAGCCAATACTGTAGAACTTGGGTAGCCAATACTGTAAAGCTTGGCTAGCCAATACTGTAGAGCTTTGCTAGCCAATACTGTAGAGCTTGGCTAGCCAATATTGTAGAGCTTGGCAAGCCAATACTGTAGAGCTTGGGTAGCCAATACTGTAGAGCTTTGCTAGCCAATATTGTACAGCTTGGCAAGCCAAAACTGTAAAGCTTGGCAAGCCAATACTGTAAAGCTTGGCTAGCCAATACTGTAAAGCTTGGCAAGCCAATACTGTAAAGCTTGGCTAGCTAATACTGTAGAGCTTAGCTAGCCAATACTGTAAAGCTTGGCAAGCCAATACTGTAGAACTTGGCTAGCCAATACTGTAAAGCTTGGCTAGCCAATACTGTAGAGCTTTGCTAGCCAATACTGTAGAGCTTTGCTAGCCAATATTGTAAAGCTTGGCAAGCCAAAACTGTAAAGCTTGGCAAGCCAATACTGTAAAGAGCTCAGTAAGCCAATAATGTAGATATTGACTAGCCAACATTGTAGAGTTTGATGTCATACTGGATAAACAAGTCATTATCACTGGTTAGAAATGATTTTATATGGTTAAAGTTGTGGTTTCCGTGGTTCACAGATGCACACTGCTTTATCATAAGTCTGTGGTTTCCTTTGAATCACAACTGCTTCTATTAAGTGTGTATAATATGTTTTAAAGATCATGTCTGTACATAGAATTTGGTTTACAGATTTGCCATGCATGGTATCCTGGTCCATAATTCTTGTAAACTTGTACTCAATGGTTGAATTAAAAGCAGTGATTTTCTTGCTTATATAACAGACTCCAATAACAGGCCTCATCTCAATGGAAATTTTCTTTAAAATCATGCAGTTTTCCCAAAAATCTTAACCTTAAAAATGCTTTTTACTTCCAAAATCGGCAATTTTAGCAATAATTTTCACCAAAATTAAGAGGCTAAGGCCTCTTCCTATTAAGTGTGAAAAGTCACTGGAATATTCATTCAGAACAGTAACTGTTACAGTTTACATTTTTACATGATAAAATTAAAAAATTCATTTGGACTTTCATTGATTTTTCTGATATTTTTCTTTTCAAATTTACTTGTATACTTATTTATCTAATCATATTGCACTCATTTACAGGTATTTGATGTAATGCTGAATGGACATCATACTATTAGCCATGACTTAGATATTTATGCAAAAGTTGGACGAGGGGTGGCCCATGATGAAATAGTGCCTTTTCAAATTCATGGTGGACAGTTGAAAGTTAATGGTGAGACATCGGATATCGTAGATGGAAAACTCATCGTAGAATTTGTTAAGGTTGGTTAGACCTGCAAACCATTCTTTGCAGATATTATTCATTGGCAAAAAAAAACAACAGCCAAATACACTGACAAGAAATCTTTTTAGTGGTTTTGACCTGTATTGAGTTCACTAGAATAAATTCTCCCCCTCCACCCCCTGTTTCTTCCTAAATCCTCAACTGAAAAACCCATTTGAAATTTTTTTTAACCCTTTTTTTCTTATTTTCCCAAACTTTAAAGGTGCCCAGGGCCCCCCCTTTTTTCCCCCGAAACGAAAATTAAATGTCCCTTGTGGGGAAAAAATTTGGGGGAAATTTATTTTCAAAAAAAAATGGAAAAAAAAGTAAAAAAGGTAGCATTTTGAATTCCCTAATTAAAAAAAAACTAAATAAAAAAAAATTGGGTAAAATGTTTTTTCCCCAAAAAAAAAAAACCCAAGAGGAAAAAGAAGATTTTTTTTTTTAAATGAATGGGACCCCCCAGAAAGCAAAAAAAGTAAAAAAAAAAAGCATATTTGGGGCCCTTTAAACCAGTTTACATTTGTATTTTTCCAATTTTGGTCATCTCCCCAACGGGTTTTTTTATTTTCTATCAAGAAAAAAATGCGTTTAAAAAAAAAAGGCCCCTGAAATTTCCTGTTTGGTTTGTTGATTTTTCAATTTTCCCTATACTAATCAAAAAAAATTTCTATTTTTTTTCTAGATAATCTGTTTTTGGGATTTTTTTGTTGTTCTCCAAGTTTTGGGAAATTTAGAAAAAGGGGGTTTTTCTTTAGATTGTTTTTTTCATTGATACTGGTAAAAGCTTTTTTAATTAAATTAATCTACCCCTTTGTTGAAACCCAAAATGTGACATTTTTTTTTTTCCGGGTGCTAAAACTAAAGGGGGGTCCCCCTTTATCGGGGTTAAGAAAAAGATTTAATTTTAGCCTGGAAAATTTTTGGGGGACCCAAATTTGGGGTAAATAAAAAGGGGGGTTTGGGTTAAAAGGGCCCCCTTTGTTTAATTTTTTAGGAAAAAGTTTTGAAATTTTTTATTTGGCTAAAAAAAGCTTTTTAATGTGAACTTTTCATCTGTTGTTTTCTGGCAATTAAGTTACAGTTTTTAATGATTATTATTTTGTATGGGAAATCAAAATACTTCTATGTTTACAGGCTTGCATCTTTTATGACAATTATTCACATTTTATGCCACTTCTTCAGGGTAAAAAGCATCTAATCATTCTGTAAAGACCATTCTGGTGATTTTTTTGGCTTATTTATAGCGTTATTGTCAAGTATTGGGTCATATTCCCAATTGAAAATAGTAGTATTATTTTCCAAATCCACAGGAAAAAAGTTCCAATTGAAAATTCCCAAATTGAAAGTTACAAAATAAAATATTGAAATAAAATTCTAAAGTCTTTAGAAAATAAGGGCTTCTTCACGTGTAATAGTGCTTAAATGTTTTGACTAATGCCATCCTAGACAGTAATTCTTTGCATCCATTTATCACTGTAAAAATTTCAGGCATGCATTTTTCCGAATTTTTAACAAATCACGGCTGAAATTCCCAATTCCATGGGTACAGTATGGGTCATGTTCTCAAAATCTTGAAAAAAATCCCTGCCATTATTTAAACATTGTAAAATTCATGTTTGCTCTTTCTAAAGAAGTAAAAAAAAAATTTTTCTGAGACAAGAATGATGTGCCTTTAAGACAGTGAAAGAGTTAAGTTGATATTGTACCATAACGTTTGGTGGTTTTACCATTATTAGTTTACCTATCCAAATATAATAGCGTAATAAAACAACACAATTTGATTAAAGGATGTAAACTGTATTTGCCTGTCTGTAATTGATAGTTTATGCGTTCGTATCACAATAACTTTGTAAATTTACGATGAAGTGGGTAGCACTTGCATGGAATGATGACTAAATTTGCTAAAAATAGCAGTTGTATATTTTGATAGAGCCTACTTTGTTCTGTTTACTAATATACATTGTATTTTATGTTGGTATAATTTAATAAAAGGACCAAGTATAGACATTTTTGTTGTTAAGACACTCTATATATGACCACAAGAATATACATCAGTATGACATTTATTTCGTATGAAGCTTCCAGTAAACATGTTACAACATTCTGGATGCTGTCATGGCAATAAAATATATTCCCAATTTTCTTCCATTTACCCATTACTACTGTAAACAAGAAGCTTACAAGAGACGTTAATATCTTTCATGCCATGTAATATTAATATTGAGGGGCATCTTATATCTTGCTCCCAATAATGTCAGAAAATTGTCCAAATAATGTCAGAAAATTGTCCAAATAATGTCAGAAAATTGTCATATAATTTTAACACAGAGGGGCAACTTGGGTCTTCCTCCAAGTAAACACATAAAAGTGCCATATTAACATTAAAAAGCTCTTGAGGTCTTGCTTCAAGGAAAGACAGAAAATTTCCATATAATATTAACAAGGAGGGGCACTTGAAGTTTTACTTCCAGTAAACACAGAAAATTGCAATATGATATTAACATTTAGAGTTGCCGAGGGGTCTTGCTCCCAGTTAACATGTAAGGTAAACATTGCTATGTTATACTGACATTATGTGTCAAAATATAAGATACATGTATTATAGGGACAAATAAGAAATCAAGAAATCATTTGTTAATAATCCATTTTATAGAAATACACTTTAACTTTATGACTGAGACATTTAGGGCATTCACTTCAAAGCGCTAGTCCCTCACTGTTGTGGGTTTGAATCTCCCCCAGTGGTTTGGAATTCTTTCATAGGAGCAAGCTTATAATACAGGTACCAGGCTAGCTTGTGGAATGTTGTTTGTTTTACTGAGGTGTCCACTAGTACCTGAAATATTGCACAAAGGGGCACCTAAGGTCTTCCTCTACCAGTAAAGCTGGAAAGTCACGATATGACCTTTACAGTGAATGGTGTGAAGTAAATCTGAAAAAGAAAATCAATTCATTTGAAGTGCATACTACTTTCAATAAAGCATGAATAAACCTATAATAGGCCACACTCATGTATATTTGATTGTATTTAATTGTTCAACAGTTTAATTACAGAGGATCAATTCATCCTTTTAGATGAATTATGTGTGTTAAATTTTATTGCCCCTTGTACATTTTATTATTGCCAATTAGTATTTTATGACATGTTAATGCCACGTTTATGACATTTCAGGCTGACTATGACAACCCTAAAATTAATGCGATGTACGTCATGCGTGGAACAGTAGACGGTATGTGTTTGATTTTAGTCACCTTTTTCTCTTTTGTATATCAAGGCTAGTGTTCTACTCAGGTGCCCGTTCATGCCTGAAGTAATGCCTGAGGTCTTCCTCCACCAGTAAAGCTGGAATGTCGCCATATGACCTATACTGTGAGGGTGTGATGTAAAACCCAACTAAACAAACAAACATGGCTAGTGTTCATGTCTTTAAAGATTTGCTTTATATCCTTTATTGTTGGACGACTAACTGCAAAATTTATAGACATTATCTAAAAACCTCTTACATTTACATTGGACAGTTTCAAATTTGGAGCCAGATAAGTCAATTGTATAAATATAGTAGTCATACTTTTTAGCTCGACTATTCAATAAGAATAAGTAGAGCTATTGTAGTCACCTGAGCGCCTGCGATGGCGTCAGCGTAACCACTTATGTTAAAGTTTTTGTAATAGTTCAAATATTTTCAAAGTCCATTGACATATGGCTTTGAAACTTTGCACACTTGTTCACCATCATTACCCCAACCTGTATACAGGAGGAGGTAACTGTATCAAGCATTCTGACAGAATTATGCCCCTTTTTCGACTTAGAATTTACGTTAAAGTTTTTGTAATAGTTCAAATATTTTCAAAGTCCATTGACATATGGCTTTGAAACTTTGCACACTTGTTCCCTATCATTACCCCAACTTGTAAACAGGAGGAGGTAACTGTATCAAGCATTTTGACAGAATTATGCCCCTTTTTCGACTTAAAAATTTACGTTAAAGTTTTTGTAATACCTCAAATATTTTCAAAGTCCATTGACATATGGCTTTGAAACTTTGCACAGTTGTTCACCATCATTACCCCAACCTTTAAACAGGAGGAGGTAACTGTATCAAACATTTTGACAGAAGTATGGCCCTTTTTCAACTTAGAATTTATGTTAATGTTTTTGTAATACCTCAAATATTTTCAAAGTCCATTGACATATGTAAACAGGAGGAGGTAACTGTATCAAGCATTTTTTATGCTCCCCGAAAAATTTCGGGGGAGCATATAGTCGGCGCCTTGTCCGTCTGTCCGAGCAAACATTTGATATTTATGAGCTTCATTCCGTAGTTAAATAAAGAACAAAAGCTCTTAAAATTCAAATTAAGAGCTATTTTTTTGATTTTATGAGCTGATTTTGCTTATGGACTTTGGTCTAGGTGTAGTTTATGAGCTGATTTACCTCTTAAATATCAAACAAGAAACATGGCAATGCCATGAAACCAGGTTTTCAATTATCACCATTGTAGATAAATATGTTGTATTTGAAATACAAATACAAGCAACAAACAATGTAACTATGTGCAATGTAAAAACATGAATAATGTAGGAGGAATTGCCACTGAACAGAAGTGTTCACTATAATATTATGTATAAGGAAAAAAACAAAGGGCCATAATTAGGTCAAAAACTATCCAATCACAAAACCCCGACAATATGTGCCAGGGTGACTTGATGACAAAGCTTCTGTGAAAGTTTGAACAAAATCCGTTGAGAAATGTAGGACGAGTTCAGCACAGAAGAATTTGTTCACTATAATTATATTGATAATTCTGTATAATGAAAAACAAGTTACAAAGTAGACATGAAATAATATATCATATCTTTTTTTAAATTACCTCCAAAGATGATATGACCTTTGACTGCCAAATCAAGTTAAAATCATGTAAACAGGATTTTCAATGTTAAGTCACTGTGACCTTGACCTTGGAGCCAGCCATGCGGAACATGCCGTTCTGCACGTCATCTTGATGTGGTAAACATTTGTCTGAAGTTTCATCAAAATTCTTCAAAGGGTTGAAGAGTTACAGAGCGGACAGGATTTTCAATGTTAATGTCACTGTGACCTTGACCTTGGAGCCAGCCATGCGGAACATGCGTTCTGCACGTCATCTTGATGTGGTAAACATTTGTCTAAAGTTTTCATCAAAATTCTTCAAAGGGTTGAAGAGTTACAGAGCGGACAGGATTTTCAATGTTAATGTCACTGTGACCTTGACCTTGGAGCCAGCCATGCGGAACATGCGTTCTGCACGTCATCTTGATGTGGTAAACATTTGTCTGAAGTTTCATCAAAATTCTTCAAAGGGTTGAAGAGTTACAGAGCGGACAGGATTTTCAATGTTAATGTCACTGTGACCTTGACCTTGGAGCCAGCCATGCGGAACATGCGTTCTGCATGTCATCTTGATGTGGTAAACATTTGTCTGAAGTTTCATCAAAATTCTTCAAAGGGTTGAAGAGTTACAGAGCGGACAGGATTTTCAATGTTAATGTCACTGTGACCTTGACCTTGGAGCCAGCCATGCGGAACATGCGTTCTGCACGTCATCTTGATGTGGTAAACATTTGTTCTGAAGTTTCATCAAAATTCTTCAAAGGGTTGAAGAGTTACAGAGCGGACAGGATTTTCAATGTTAATGTCACTGTGACCTTGACCTTGGAGCCAGCCATGCGGAACATGCGTTCTGCACGTCATCTTGATGTGGTAAACATTTGTCTGAAGTTTCATCAAAATTCTTCAAAGGGTTGAAGAGTTACAGAGCGGGACAGGATTTTCAATGTTAATGTCACTGTGACCTTGACCTTGGAGCCAGCCATGCGGAACATGCGTTCTGCACGTCATCTTGATGTGGTAAACATTTGTCTGAAGTTTCATCAAAATTTCTTCAAAGGGTTGAAGAGTTACAGAGCGGACACAATTTCGTTTGACGCCCGCCCATCCGCCCATCCGCCCAGCCGCCCATCCGCCCATCCGCCCATCCGCCCATCTGCCCGCCATACCCCAATCTAATAACCAGGATTTTCAAAATTGAAAACCTGGTTAAAAAGTTGGTACGTCCGTCCGTCTGTCCGTCCGTTGTCTTGTCCGGAGCATAACTTGAAAACCCTTGGAGATAATTTGTTGAAACTTCATACAGTGGTAGTGGGCATCGAGGGGGAGTGCAGTGTCAAAGAACCATAACTCTATTTTGCCCGGTTTTTGAATTATCTCCCCTTATAGAAAAATCTTGTCCGGGGCATAAACTCTAAAACTATAAGAGATATCAACATGAAACTTGTAGGTGAATAGATCTCAATGGGTAGATGTGCAGTGCATAAGAACAATAACTCTTTTTGTCCTAATTTTTGGAGTTATTGCCCTTTGTTAATTTAATACTTTGAACTTTGTCCGGAACATAACTTGAAAACCCTTGGAGATAATTTGTTGAAACTTCATACAGTGGTAGAGGGCATCGAGGGGGAGTGCAGTGTCAAAGAACCATAACTCTATTTTGCCCGGTTTTTGAATTATCTCCCCTTATAGAAAACTCTTGTCAGGGCATAACTCTAAAACTATAAGAGATATCAACATGAAAACATTGTAGGTAGATAGATCTCATTGAGTTAGAAGTGCAGTGCAAAAGAACCATAACTCTCTTAAGCCTCATTTTTGAATAATCTCCCCTTTTAGAAAAATTCTTGTCCACCCGACATAGCTGTAAAACTATAACAGAGATATCAACATGAAACTTTGTATGTAGATATATGCTCAATGGGTAGATGTGCAGTGCACAAGAATCATAACTCTACCTTGCCTAATTTCTGGAGTTATTGCCCTTTGTTTATTTTTACTTTTTGAATTGTCCAGGACATAACTCGGAAATCATAAGAGACATCATCAGGAAACTTTGTAGGTTGATAGATTACATTGATTAGAAGTGCAGTGCAAAGAACTGTAACTCTGCCTTGCCTAATTTTGGAATTATTGCACTTTGAACTTTCTCCAGGAACTCTTAAACTACAAGAGGTGTACTTTCCTGTGTCCAAAACCTATTCGGGGAGCATCACCCGGCTCAAACCGGGCTCTTGTTTTTTACTATCAAGCACTAAGAATAGTCGAGTGTTGCTGTCCTACCGACAGCTCTTGTTGTGTAGGTACTTGTTCATAGTTCGGTTTGAAATATGACCTTGACTCTTAAAATGACCTTGACCTGTATGGTTGAATCATAAAATGTTGGAGAATTTTTAATGGTTTTGTGTTATTTATTTACAGGTATTTGAAAAGGGCATGTTTGTTCAAATTGTGAATTTTTTTTCTCTCATTCTTTTAAAAAGCCAAAAGAGCTAGAGTAAAGGTATTTAGTACAGGTGAGCGATTTCAGGGCCATTTCATTTCTTAGGACTTTATTACTTTATACCGGTAGTAAAAACTTTTAAACTAAAAATCTTCTTTTAAAAAACTCAAAAACTTTCAGTGAAAGTATAATCAAATACAAACAAGGTCTTATAGAATTAGGGTCCAACAGAAAAAAGTTTTAATAGAAAGAAGGTCCAATCTAAACAGGGTCCAGTGGAAACAAGGTTCAATACAAACAAGATTTGATCAGTTGATCTGTTTGATTAGTACATGTAGTTTGTTGCTTGTTTTTGTAGATGTACCCAAGTTGCCACCATTGCAAGGTCTAGATGGTAGCACAGATGAAGAAGAGGAAGAAGAAGAAGAGGTGGTCAATGACTCCAAACAAAAACAGAATATCCGTCCCTCCGGACCCAAAGTGAAGGACCCTTACTCAACCGACGATACCAGTACAATGCTGTTGCCAGTTTTTGTAGCGGTTGGCGCATTTATTCCATTATTGTTCTGTTTATGCAAGTTGTAGTTTATAGCCACCATAGACATGTGTATGTTTTACAATTGTGTGCTAGGAAATTACAAAAGAATAAACTTTAAGTTTTATTTTTCAAATTTTCACCTTGTTTTTTGTCATTTTTAATTATACATGTACTTGTTTATGGATATGTTTCTGTATTTTAATCGTGCTTTTGATGTTTTTGTTTTTTTTTTTCTTCGTAATTCAATTTTTTTTTTGTTGATAATGAATAAATGTCAGAATTCCATAATGATAATGTATTTCTTTTCACGAATTAGATGACAAATTTGAAAAAGGTAAAAAAAGTTATTTTATTTACTTTTCGTACCGTATCAGTATGTTGTTAACCGTTAATCTGCTGCAACCAAAAGTGATAAGTCGTTGCCACCAGTATAGAGCCAGGCCAGCCTGCACTTATGTTAGTGCAATTTTTTGGTATTTTTTGATATAAAATTCTCGCAAACTTTAATCAAACCGTTTCAAATTCAAAACTAGGCCAAGACATCATGCATGGTCAGCAGGTTAAGGGTGAAAATCACCTTAAGCGTGTAAAAATTCAGCTGTTGTTTGAGTAGATTAAAAACCTTTATTCATGTTTTGAATAGGTTAAATATACACAAGTATGTAACAGTAACATGTATTATGGTCTTCATAGAAATACATGTACTTATAATTATTTAATCATGTATTTTGATGTAAGAAAATGTTGCTAGAAACAAAATGTTGGTATTTGTTCCTCAGGGTTTAGAAAAATAGAGTTGAGTCGAGTGTTACCCTGTTCCCTTACGTTTTATTCACCATTTCAAAATTATTTGGACCAGTTTTCTTTATATTCGTTGACAGAAATATTCCAAGTTTGAAAAAGATGTTTACATTTGTACATGTACATAAATTTGTTTTTGTTCAAACATTGCGGACATAAAAAAAATGTCATGAAAGCGATATATAACCATTTCCTAGTTGTATTATTGTTTATTTTTATTCTTATGTAAACAGATACAAGAAAATGTGTTTCACCATTTTTAAATGACGATTGATACTTCTACAAAACATATATATATATATAATGAATGACATCATTTCAGGTTCCTTATGTATGAGACAGTTATATTTAAATTTTAAGATAATGGCTGTTAATGCATAGATATAAGTACTGTATGTATAAATGGTTAAATTAGTGATGCGGAAATATTGGCGAATTTTGCAAATGCCGAAAATCACTAAAATTTCCTCTAGCATAAATATCAACCAACCTGTCATTAAATTCTAACCTTGCCTGATTCGCTTATATTTCATTTCCCAAAATGTCTGGTATTTTCAATTTGTAACTTTTTGTCACACAGAAATATCCACTTATTAAAGTAGTTTAGGGTAAAGAAACTCCTCCATGCAAGTGTGTTCAAGTAGAGGAGCCTTGTGGCCTGAAATATTTATTCTTTGGGAGTAATGTTTTTTCATAATCAATTTGTCCATCTATAGGTGGACTACCATCAGAACAGTCGGGATCTCTTTGCTTGGATGGTTTATGTAGCTGACTTGGAACACTAGTAAAAATCATTCATTGTAACAAACTGATGAGGGCATTATAGTATCATACTACAGTAACGAAAACAGCAATTTATTTTTTTTTTTTAAATTATGCCGTTATACGCCATCATTTTCTTGACATCACTACTAATTTTTAATTTTACAAGTACGGAAATGGCTTGTATCACATATTTTGTAGATTTCAAAGTACACATAGCTTATTAACAATTTCGGAATAAATTATTGATGTGGTTGATTGAAAATTTGTGTTTGTATGTACAGTGAAAAATGATGTAATATTGTTTACAATAAATCAATTGTTTAAATGAAATTCTGTATGAAATATGTATGAAACACACTATAAATGCCATTTCATCTGCATTTTATTTGCTAATTGACATTTAATGACGTAACCATGGCACCAGTAGTGTATAGTTTTGATAAAATATTTACAAGTCATTTACTGTTTTAAAATCTTTATTTGAAGTAATACCATGCTTAAATCAAACCCCTACATTCAAAAAGAGGTCAAAAAGCGCTGAACCTACCTGTATAAATCAAAATTTGAAAAAAATGGTATTTTCTTGCTAGTCATGAATGTTCATAGATAATAAAAACATATTGTTCATCTTTCCACTTTTATTCTCTCCCCCCCCCCTCCCCCAACCCCTACCACCACCCTCCCTCCCCCACACACTCCCAAAACAATATGATCTATTTAAGGTCTTTGTTTTTATCTTTTTAAACAATTACCCAAAATTTTGGGCCCAATACCCCACTTTAAAAAATTTGGGTCCCCCGGGTGAAGGGACCCTGTTAAATTTTTTTTTAAGAAAACGGGTCAAGGCCCAGCGAGACAAAAAATAGATTTTTCCTTATGGGATTCGCAATCCAATAAAGCTTTAGGAGCATCTGTTTTATTCAGTAAATATTTTTTTTGCATTTTTCTCAAAATAAAAAAATAAAATTGTTTAATTTTGTTTTTTTCTTTTTCCTTTAAAAAAAAAAACTTTTAAAACAATGGGGGCCAAATGTTCAATATTAAAAAATGCTAAAGATTTTTACTTTAAATTTAAAAACAAAATTATAACATTAGAACTTTATTTCCTGTGACAGTTTTTTTAAATATGGAAAATAAAAAAATTTGAATACATGTAATACATTATTTTTATATGCATGGTAATAATGATTTTAGACATGCAGTAAATACTGTAACTACAGTATATTGAATTTAAAAAGATGCTGTGTCAAATGAAAATGCATTTGAATTATGATTTCTGCATGAAAAACTTGACACAATGAAACATTTGAATGTTAAATAATTGAAATTTGAAGTGTCATTGTCAGATAAACACAAATTTGATACATAATCAATAATTTTCCATCAGCCAGTATGCATTCATGTATTTTAAAACGATTAATAAATTTTACTACTGACAAAATATCTAGATAAGCTCACGGCAAACCTAAACAGAAAAAGGTGTCTTGTCCAAGGCCCTTTTAAAAAATATGATTTTGTGGACAGATTTTTCAAAGGAGGTGACAGTTTTTTCATTGAAAGATGCAAGTTCCTTAATATAGAAATTTAGACAATAATTCAATACGCATATACCATGTTTATGTTTGTCATATGGTCAATTTACCTCCTAGACTGAATCGTTGGCGGCTTATATTGCAAAATGATTTATTTATTACTTCTGTGAACGTAATATGAATTGATAAATAATTGTGCAAACACCTTAATGAATGCTTGCTGCAAGACAAATTGCCATTACCATCAGTATTATATGGCCAGGACAAGGGTAGGTAAGGCCTAGCTGCACATATGTACTGCCTTACCAGACTCTATATTATTGCCAGATAAATTTTAGTATTCTTTATGCTGAAATCTCTTAGGCTATATGACTCCTATTTAGTTAGATAAGGATGATGTCATTGTATCACATTGACTGAACAAATGCCAATTAAGGGGGGAAAATATTTAAAAAATAACAGAGTATGTTTTAATAAAGGGAGATAATAAATGTAAAGGAGAGCAAAGGAATTTTTTTTGATAAAGGGAGGTAATAGATATCGAGGAGAAAAAGGGGAGCTAATTTACAAATTGTCATAATTCTATGTAATTGGGATCAATTAATAATAAAGAGAAATGTTGTTCATATGTGTTTAAAAGATATGTGAAGACCTTTACAAAAATAACATAATAGTAAACTTATTTCTTATATTTCAGTGTTGTAACACATAGATGATGTCATTTTATCAGCACTTTAACCAAAATATTGTCAAAACTAGCACTGCATCAATGTTTTAAAAACACACTTTTTAGTATGCTCTGCATAATTATTCTTTTATTGTTTTTTTGCCTCATTGTATTATACATAATTATCACATATAAGAATATACCGTTTGCCTAGATTGAGTTTCTTTTCAAGAAGACAACAAGTTTAGTTACAGAGTGAATACATGTTACTTTGTTATATAGCTGTAGAATAACTGTAGAATATATATTATGGGCAAAATGTGACCATTGAGGGTCGCTTAGCAGTTAAATAGACTTACAAATATCACATAGTTGTTCCTTAGATTTTTACTTACTTGCTACCTGGGGGGAAGCAGTCAAATTTTGAAATTCATATTTGGATTCGCTAGGATTTTACTTGCTTGCTACCTGGGGGGAAGCAGTCATGTTTTGAAATTGTTGTCATTATTTCGAATGTGAAAAATTGTGATTGTGAGTAGAATTGTGAATGTAATTTTTTTTTTTTAGCCTCAAACTATACATTCAGACTTAAGACATATTTTTTTAAATAAAAAGTTAATTAAAAAATTTTTTATAATTTTTTATGAGCAAATTCGGCATAAATACAAACAAAATATGACAGTTATGATTCATATGGCATATAAATAAACATTGTATAGAAGAACAGCACATACAAATACTACATTACACAAAGTCCCAGAGTTTCAATTTAGAGCTGTGCAACTTAATTATGATACATGTATTTGAAACAATGTTACCACATAGCCACTGTCCTCAGGCCTGGTTAAAGATGTATGGCTATCAATTACATGTACCTATAATAAATTATCACAATATAAAATGACTAGAAAATCTGTAGAAAATCTGTAGATTTAATTAAAACTTTCTTTCTTTCAAAAGATGCCACAGGCAGTAAAGATTGCATATCTATTTTAGTTAATAATACCCAGCCAATGTGTTTAGTTCAGGTTTTTTTTTATTGAAAATGTATATTGGACTTAAATAAAACAACAAAAAAACAATATTCAGTATATGGAGAATATTCAAATGTTTTCTATAAATGCAGGATCTATTTTCATAGAGTGGTATGACAATAAATATTTCACAAGTTGCAGTAGCCAGCAGTGAAGTATGATAATTATCATACCACAAGATGAAAATAAAACAAGATGCCAGTGAAAATAGGGAAAATATGCTTCACTGCAGTAGAAAAAAAATTCAACAGTGACAATACAGAAAATGAAAAGATGCATTTTATTCCATCAATATTTCTCAATATTTCATTTATAGATATATAATAAGATGTTATTTGAACTGAAAAAATTAATATTTATAACAATATTATTTTTTTTCAGTACATATCACATATTCACCAGCTAAAAAGTCGATATTTGTATAATATTTAGCATTGCCTGTAGCAAAACAATTATTAACACTATAATCAGTCAATTAAAATATAGATCTATATAGATAGTTATATAAGCACTTTGACCAGAAAAATAAGCTTATAGCTAACATGCTAATAAATATATATATCTAAAACAACTGTTCATTTTTAGAGCACAACAATTTTAATTTTCTACATGATCTTGTTTACAAATTGGTTAATTTTCACTTCATAAAAATTCATAATGATTGGTAATGATAATATTTCTGATATTATTTAAGAGAATGATTAATTATTGATACAGTCAGGTGACAGTCGGGATATAACCCAGACATTTTATTGTCATACATCATACATGTGTAGGTACTGATTGAGTCAATCATTAATTGTTAATTTCATTAATGAATTGCCCATTAAAAGGTCATTAAAAGTCAATTAAAGTCACTACTAATTGTGACAGTGTCTTTATAACTTGATTTATATATCACTTGTTGTCTAGGTTGACCTTTCAATTTTTTTATTTATTTTTTTTATTTTATTATTTTTTTTGCCAAACAACAATTATTATTAGGAATGATGGTCAAGAAATTTCAGGTTTGAATCCAAGGGTTTCTGGTTTAAGCTTTTCTGAGACAAAGCCAGCCAATTATTCTCATGTAAAGCCAGTATTACGACTATGAGACCAGTAATCGTCAAGTAACCTAAATAGATCGTGCTTGTCTATCCTGAGTTAATCATCAAACAAAGGACGTTAATCAGCAACAATATATTACAAATTAAAATATATATATAAAAAACATAGCTTTATACATTATTTATTTCAAGGTCAAGGTCAAATAAACCTACCTGTTTAACTGGAAAGTTGCAGTATGACCATTATAGTGTTTGTGCAATAAAAACAAAATCAATCTTGCCTCGTATACACATGTCTGATATTAGTTACCATGTAAAACACAAGTTTTTACTTTTCTTTTATTAATACCAGTATATGATGGACTTCGTTATTTGTGACTTGAACATGCAAAAGTTACATGTAAAATTGTTAAAGAATGAGGTTAATAGTAGTCATTTTCAGATAATTTGATGAAAAAAAATCTCTTTTAACTTTTTCCGCTCACTTCAAAGCAATAAATGTTTCAGGATTGTGTGAGTTTTTTAGCTCACCTGTCACAAAGTGACAGGGTGAGCTTTTGTGATCGCTTTTCGTCCGGCGTCTGTCCGTCCGTCCATCCGTCTGTAAACTTTTACTTTAAATGACATCTCCTCATAAACCACTAAGCCAATTTCATCCAAACTTCACAGGAATGTTCCTTTGGTGGTCACCTTTAAAAATTGTTCAAAGAATTTAATTCCATGCAGAACTCTGGTTGCCATGGCAACCGAAAGAAAAAACTTTAAATATCTTCTTTTAAAAAACCATAAGAGCTAGAGCTTAGATATTTGGCATGAAACATCTTCTAGTGAGTGTCTACCAAGTTTGTTCAAATAAAAGCCCTGGGGTCAAAATTGGCCCCGCCCCGGGGGGTCATTGATTTTCCCTATATGCATATAGTAAAAAATTAAAAAATCTTCTTTTAAAGAACCCAAAGAGCTAGAGCTTAGATATTTAGCATGAAACATGTTCTAATGGGTGTCTACCAAGTTTGTTCAAATAAAAGCCCTGGGGTCAAAATTGGCACCGCCCCGGGGGGTCATTGATTTTCCCTATATGCATATAGTAAAAACTTAAAAAATCTTCTTTTAAAGAACTCAAAGAGCTATGGCTAAGATATTGAGCATCAAACATGTTCTAATAGGTGTCTACCAAGTTTGTTCAAATAAAAGCCCTGGGGTCAAAATTGGGCCTGCCCCAGGGGGTCATTGATTTTTCCTATGTGCATATAGTAAAAACTTAAAAAATCTTCTTTTAAAGAACCA